CATTTGAATGTTAGTTTTAGAGAGTACAATAATATAACATTTTCAAAACTCAGTAGATGACAGTTTTTGAGTATATTGCAGTGGTGATATCGGGTTGGTTTCTTGTCCATAATTTTTATTGCTTGATTGTATAATGAGCCGATGCACTTTGTGCTGAGGGAGCTGCCTGGGTCCATGCTGTCATGCAGTATGATAAATGGGAGAAGATCATCCCATGCATGTACAGCAGGGCCGCTTGATTGGGAATAAAATGTCGTATTAGTTTGAAACAGTTAAGATTGCGACGTATAGTTTTGGAAAGTTTTTGTATATGTTTATCAAATTTTAGTTGTGGATCTAGAACCAACCCGAGGTAGTTGAATTCTGTTATTGTTTTGATTTTTTCATTTTGTAATATGATTTGGAAATTTGGATTTATTTTTCTAATAGAAAAGCACATGGACACTGTTTTGGTAAGATTTAAGACCAGGTGATTTTGAGTGAGCCACTTGCTCACCTCAGTCATACATGCAGATAACACGTCTGCTGCCTGCCCCGGGGGCTTTGCGGGGGCATAAAAAACAGCATCATCCGCATAGAGTTGGCACATGACACCTGGGCAGGATGATGGAAGGTCATTTATAAAGAGACTGAAGAACAAAGGTCCTATTATGGATCCCTGTGGAATGCCCATTTGTGACTTTAAAAGTACAGATTTATCTTTATCTATTTTAACGCATTGTGGTCTGGTCTGGAGTTAGGATGTAAACCTCTGTATTGCGTTTGGTGAGATGTTGAAAGAGGACATTTTAGACAGAAGTAGATTGTGGTTTACGGTCTCAAAGGCTTTTTTCAGATCCAGAAAGCCTGCCCCCACCACTTCACCTCTGTCCATGGACATTTTCAGATTTTCAATAAAACAGCAGTTGGCTATTTCGGTGGAGTAACCTGCCCGAAAGCCAAACTGCTGTGGGTGTAGAAGGTGGTGGGCCTCTAGATGGTCAGTCAGCTGAGTGGCTACAGTCTTTTCAATAATTTTGGACATAGTTGGTAAGATAGCAATGGGCCTGTAGTTAGACATATTGTCCTGTGCTCCTGATTTAAAAATTGGGACAATAACTGCTTTTTTCCACACTTCAGGGAATCTGCAAGTTCTAATTGAGAGATTGATAAGATGTGTCAAGGGTTTGATTAGTGCAGTCTGATAGCTTTTTAGGAAGCAGGTGTTCATCTTATAAATGTCATTTGATTTCGAGTTTGATAAATTTGCTATAATTCTTGTTGTTGTTTTTTCATCAATTTCCAAGATTTGAAAACACTCTGCATCTATTGTTGGGCCTGGATCTGAGAGTTTGCAGGCCTCGAAATGACTAGTTATTTATTTTATTGATTGGACAAAGTGGTTGTTAAACTCATTGGCAATGGTGGCACTGTTGGTAATTCTGTTGCCATTTATTGTGATTTGCATAATTTCATTGTGCTTTGTTTTTTTATTAGTCAGATTGTTTAAATGTTTCCAAAGGGAGTTGTTATTATTCCCTCTGGAGTTGCCAATGAGCTCAGTGTAGTAAGAGGCTTGTGCTTTACGCAGCTCTTTCACTACTTTGTTTCGTAAACTTCTGTATATTTGATTGTCTGTGCCAAGTTTTGAATTTAGGGATTTCTTGAGAGCTAGGTCGCGGGATCTCATCAGTTTTCTTAATTCGCTGTTGATCCAAGGGATGGTGTTATCTTTTTGTCTGCACTTTTTTTGTTGAATATATTTCTCCATTAGGAGCAGTGTGGTTTTCGTCCCGGTCGCGGAACACTGGACCAGCTCTATACTCTCCATCGGATACTCGAGGGTTCATGGGAGTTCGCCCAACCTGTCCACATGTGCTTTGTGGATTTGGAGAAGGCGTTCGACTGTGTTCCCCGGGGTGTCCTTTGGGGGGTTCTCCGGGAGTACGGGGTCGGAGGTCCTCTGCTAAGGGCCATCCGATCCCTGTATGACCGGAACCAGAGCTGTGTTCGCATTGCCGGCAGTAAGTCAGACCTGTTCCCGGTGAATGTTGGCCTCCGACAGGGCTGCCCTTTGTCACCGGTTCTGTTCACTGTATTTATGGACAGAATATCTAGGCGCAGCCAGGGGTCGGAGGGGGTCCGGTTCGGAGACCACAGGATTTCATCTCTGCTGTTTGCAGACGATGTTGTCCTGTTGGCTCCAACGAACCAGGACCTGCAGCATGCACTGGGACGGTTTGCAGCCGAGTGTGAAGCGGCTGGGATGAGAATCAGCACCTCCAAATCCGAGGCCATGGTGCTCGACCGGAAAAAGGTGCCTTGCCCTCTGCAGGTGGGTGGAGAGGTCCTTCCTCAAGTGGAGGAGTTCAAGTATCTCGGGGTCTTGTTCACGAGTGAGGGAAGAATGGAGCGTGAGATTGACAGGCGGATCGGTGCAGCGTGCGCAGTTATGCGGTCGCTGTATCGGACCGTTGTGGTGAAGAGGGAGCTGAGCCGAAAGGCAAAGCTCTCGATTTACCGGTCAATCTTCGTTCCCTCCCTCACCTATGGTCATGAGCTTTGGGTAATGACCGAAAGAACGAGATCGCGGATACAAGCGGTCGAAATGAGCTTCCTCCGCAGAGTGGCTGGGCGCTCCCTTAGAGATAGGGTGAGGAGCTCAGTCACACGGGAGGAGCTCGGAGTAGAACCGCTGCTTCTCCACGTCGAGAGGAACCAGTTGAGGTGGCTCGGGCATCTGTTCCGGATGCTTCCTGGACGCCTCCCTGGGGAGGTGTTCCGGGCACGCCCCACCGGGAGGAGGCCCCGCGGAAGACCCAGGACACGCTGGAGGGACTATGTCTCTCAGCTGGCCTGGGAACGCCTTGGGGTCCCCCCGGACGAGCTGGAGGAAGTGTGTGTGGATAGGGAAGTCTGGGCGTCTCTGCTTAGACTGCTGCCCCCGCGACCCGGCAACGGATAAAGCGGAAGAAAATGGATGGATGGATGGATATTTCTCCATTAATTTTGAAATAGATTTAGTCATAAAGTTGCAGGCATCATCTACATTTTCCATAGACATCATTTGTTCCCTATTCAATTTTTGTATTTCTTTTTCCACTTGTTGGGCTTTGGTTTTTGGGATGACCAGTTTTACTTTTTCATTTGTGTGATCAGGTTTACCAAAGTAAGTAAGCCTATTTTTAGTCAGCTTTCTAACTGTCAGGGTCATGTTATGGTCAGAAAGTCCAGTTACTAAGTTATAGGTCCTTGTGATACGCTCAGGTTTGTTAGTAAATATCATGTCAATGAGCGTCTTGGTCTGTCTGGTGATCCTAGTCGGTCCCTTAATCATTTGGTGGTAGTAGGATTTACTCATTAGTGTTTTCAGTTTTTGCTTAGCACAGTTGTCAGACCAATTGATATTGAAGTCACCATACCATAATGTCTCTCTGTATGAGTCCAACTTTTTAACTAACAAACCAAAATCCTCATAAAAAGCAGTAGTATGAGAAGGTGGATTATAAATGGCAACGATGTTGAAATTCATTGTTGGAGACAGGGCTATATTCAATGCTAGACATTCAAGGGCAGTATCCAGTTCAATTACATTGCATTTGAATTGGTCTTTTATGTAGATGAGCACACCCCCTCCCTTCCCAGAGTTTCTGTCTTTCCTAAAGCATTGATAATCCTGAAATGTCAATCATATTTGTTGGAATATTACTATGGAGCCATGATTCTGTAAAATCATGGCTCAAAAAAATGTGGCGGCAGTAGCTCAGTTGGTAGAGCGTTGGCCTTTGAGCCAGAAGGTCGTGGGTTCAAGCCCCGCTCAAGACTTTCACCATCGACTCCCACTGACTACTGTCGTTGTGTCCTTGGCAAGACACTTAACCTCTGGGAACACCAGCCACAGTGGGGCGGCTGCGGCTGTAAAGTGCCAAACTGCCGTTGTGTCCTTAGGCAAGACACTTCACCCCCATTGCCTAGAATGAGTCTGGTGTGTGTGTGAATGGTTGGTGGTGGTCGGAGGGGCCCATGGCGCATACTGGTTGCCTCGCTTCTGTCAGTGTGCCCCAGGGCAGCTGTGGCTACAGTAGTAGTTTATCACCACCGTGTATGGAGTGAATGAATAATGACACATGTGAAGCGTCTTTGAGTGTCCAAAAAAGCGCTATATAAAACCGATGCATTATTATTATTATTATTAAAACACATGTAGTCTAGGTTGGACTCCAGGAGAAGAATGGTGATTTGATCTCTTTTGGAGATTATGCTCCGGATGTTCAGGTGTCCTCCAATTATTCCTTTTGGTTTACATGCTGGTTCCCACAGCACTCGGGCATGATTAACAGTTTGAAAGAAGAGATGTCGTTTTTGTTTATGTTCAGCGCGGCCTGTGTCCACCGCCTGCTCTGGGCCTGCTCGCCTGTTAGCGCGTCTCTTAGGCCTGTTTCACACCGCACGCCGAGCGCAGAGCCGAGCGCCCTTTCCAGCCGAACGACCTCGCGGCGAGCGCATGTATTCAGACTGACGCCGAGCGTGGGCGAAGCGCCTAGACGAGTAGCACGCACAAAAGGAGTAGTATTGTACTCCAAACTAATAAACATGTTGTATATTTACATATGTTGTCTGAAATAACAGGTCAGAAATCAAAATAGCACATGTAGACCTTAAATAAATTGCTAACATTTCCTTATAATGTATCTTATAGCCTATTTTGATTGTCGTTTCATTATCATAGTTAATTATAAGGTGTGGGGAAGGCCTGGATCTCCATGGGGGTTAAGGTTAGGTTATAATTATAATATATATATATATATATATTATTATATATATAATATATGTTACAATTATATTTTATGCATAAAAAAAAAGTATGACATGGAAAATTCTGTAATTAAAAGAATAAACTTATATGTACTTATGCATTACAATAATGAGATTAGATAAACGTGAAATTGCTTTATAAAAGTTATTTTTTGAATATTTTTGTGCTGAAAGCCGCTTCGCTGCGCAGCCTACACGCGGAAAAAATGCGCTCGAGTTCCATTTTTGGTTTCAGGAGCGGAGGCGGCAGCGGCGCGCGCCGATTCCCTGCGCGCCGCCTCGGCGCCGGTCTGTACACAGAAGAGCTTTCTCATTTGCACAACAGGACGCGACTTGAAGCGCAGCTTGCGAATGCACGCGAGCGGGTTTCAAAGACGAATTCGTTCACAAATTTGTGTGCGGTGTGAAACAGACCTAGCAGATCTGAGCCTCGCTCCCACCGCGCGTGAGACGGTCCTCACTACAGTATCTTGCGCCGTGGATGTTACTGCCGGTCTCGCTACGTCCGTGTATGGGTGCGCGGGGCAGGGGCACTCACCGGTGGGGCAGTGGTCAGATGGGCGTAGGCGGCTGGATTCTTGTGTGGGGCATTCTTTGGCCCGGCACAGTTCCGGGTGTGCAGGTAGCTCCTGGCGCTGCCGCAGCAGCGGCTGCAGTGCCGGGTGGTGCGCTTTGGGTTCAGGTGCGCACAGGGGCGGTGGCAGCGCTGCTGCTCCGCCGGCCTCGGGCCCCACAGTGGGACAGCCCTGGTGCTCAAAGGTCGTTCCAGGTCCAGGATTAAGATGTATATCCCCCGCCATGAGAATGAGCACAATCAGGACTCTGGATGCTTGCATACGGCCGTGCTTTGGTATTGCACTGGGGGCTCTGCTCCTGTCTTTAGTCCAAACGTTTGAAGACCAGATGGAGTACAGGACGCTGTGTCCATGACCAAACATATAGAGTTTTTTTTGTTCACACTTGGTTGTGTGAGCTTGTGTACCCATTTGTATTGAGAAACTGTAAATCCAGAAACACGATAACAATAAAAATGAATTAAAGATGGAGAGACCAAGAGTGGAGCTCAACAAACCACTCCTGTCGGCCATCTTCTCGTAGTATTTACGTAACAAAATAGAACCAGTTACAAAAGTCCAGTATAAACATGAAGACAACTTCATGTATCCAATAGCAGCATTGAAACACAAATACACAGCTAATCCTGTGTGAACTCGGAACATGAGAATATTGTTCAACGGCTCGTTTATATTAATTCAACTTAAAATGTGGAACCAATACATGAAAAAGTGACATAAAATTAGTACAAAAGTTTTAAAGTAAAAAAACATCATATTCCCTTTGATTTAGTACGTCAGATCTGTATATAAAGCATTCTAATCTGTTGTCACATGACTTTTGGAGAATATTTTTTAAATAGCGGACGCAGAGAGACTGGTCTATAATTTGTCAAATCTTTTTGTCCCCATTTTTGTATTATGCAAGTTCCATTCTCTAAATCGTTACTTCCCAGGTCCCGGTGCTTGTGGCCGCACGGTGCCTGTTGATGTGGAGAGCAGTGACTGGGAGCTGGATGTGACTGAAGAAAGTCTCAGCGATGACGACATGTCCACAGAAGGAGACTCTGACCAGCAGAGGGAGCCCATGAGGTCAGACTGCAAAACCAAAATGTGTTTGTTCATGAAATTAACTTTATAAATGAAGATGTTTGGTTGTGCTGTGTCCTCTTCACTCGATTAACATCAGAATATTTGGACTTTAAAATGGAATTATGATGAGAACTAAGTCAAAGTAAAAAAATGATGAGATAAATTATGAAATAAAATGTGTCAGTGCATTATGTGTCGACAATGGAGCTCCATGGGACAAAGCCCCGTTAAGAGTTCACTGAAGCTCTAGATGGTTTTATGTTTTCACAGACTCTTAAACAAAGGACCCAATGTAACAGCGTGTTATTTGTTTTAAACTGTGTGTGTGTGAGCGCTATTGTGTCTCAGTTGAAGGCAGGAAGGAACTCTGATTTATATGAACACTCCTCAGGCAGCTCCTTCATCTGCGGCTATACATCTCAAAATGTTTTTACTTTTTTCTCATTATATTATGACTTTATTCTCGTCATTTTCATCTTTTCATAATATTTTGACTTTAGAGTTGACACATCATGGATAAGCCGTGTGCTCTGTGGTAGTATGGTGGGCGTGACAGGCCTGAGTGAAGGAGGCCATACAGCTCTGATCTTTTCCCAAACAGTTGTGATCATCAGACCTTTGCTCTTCATTAACCCTTCGTGTGAATGTGACTGTTTTCTTCCAGCCCGTGCTTCAGCAGCAACATTCCTTTGATGCGTCTGGTGCAGTCGGTTCATCACACAAAGAAACGAACAGATGGAGTTTTAAAAGAGGGCTGGCTCCTGCACCACACCAGCACAGACTCACTGGTACAACACACCGGCCGTTTAAGTCTTTGTATATACTCAGATATCTCCTCAAATGGAAGAGGCAAATATACGCTTCTCAACAAAGATCATAAAGACAGATTTATATGTATTTGTAGAGGAAGCGTCATTACTGGATTTTGGACTGGAAGACCATCACTTTGTATCAGAATGAGAGCAGTGTGAAATATTACAAGGTACAAGTAGGTTAAAAGTAGTATGCTGCTAAGATCCTTTTGATGGACTGCAGAAAAACACAGCAAATGTTAAAATACATGATACATTTTTAAACATCTTCTTGTCTGACTATAGGAGATCTGTCTGTCTGAAGTACTCCAAATTCGCAGCCCCTCCCTGCTCAGCGCCCCCACCCCAGCCCAGGACTGTAGTATCCGCAGCAGTATTGAGAGCAGTAATAGTAGTAGTTGTACAAAAAGTAGTCCGTCCTTTGAGCTGGTCACGTCCTCTCAGGTTTACTGCGTTGTGGCCGCAGACGAGAGCAAGTCCTGGGAGAAAGCCATCAGACAGGCCCTGATGCCCGTGCAGAGTAGTACCTCGGCTCACCAGCGGGGGCAAGGTGAGCTGTCGTGGACGTTTTACCTATATCTGGTGTCACCAAGCTTTTTCACACAGAGAGCTACTTTCCCGGAACGATAAAGGCAGAGAACTACTCCTTTAAGGGGTCCTGGAAAAAAAAAATTGGTGATATGTTAGTGTGAACAAGCCTGATATTGGGTATAGTCATTATTTATCATTGCATATTTGTTACTAGTGCAAAAAGTAAGTGCATTTTTACAATAATGATAATGAATAATAACATGAATAATAATGATATTTTAGGTATATTATTTAATTTGGTCATTTCTAAATCCTTTGGCGAGCCACCTGGATAGGGGGTGGCGAGCTACTGGTGGCTCTCAAGCTGCAGGAGTCAGCCCACATTAAAGCAAGGGTACTTAATTTTATTCTTTTTATTCTTCGGCCATCAGCAGAAAAAAAGAATACATTGACATTCACAAATTGTAAATAATTTTCACACCACAAAACATGTAACACTTCCATGTCACTAGAAAAACCACTTGCTTTTATCATGAGCGTTCACATGCATGTATTTTTGGCCTCTTTTACGGCTTTGGATCAACTTTTTTAGACAAAAAAGTGAACAAGAGAGGAGCAGCCCTCTCTCGGCCAATCAGATCTCAGCTCACAGCGTCAAATAGTGACTCATGGGGCATTTTATTACAAGGATATGCAAAATATGATCATGTTTTCTCATAAGGAAATATGTTGTGGTCTGATTTTTAAGCATGTGTCATTCTGTTAGGATAAAGAATGTATTATTAATTACATTATTAAGAGAAAAGAAGTCAGGTATCCCAGTTTTAATTGTATAAAAGAACAAGATTAAGGGGTGTCAGGTTACAAATACAAGCGATGGGAAAAAGAGTTTGTTACTGACTTTTGATGCTGTGTTTTGTCTTGACAGAAAAACAGACTCAAAGTGACAACATGGTAAATTTGTGATTGAAATCAAAGTCTGGGACATACTAAAAGGATTTCATGTCTTTTCAAACATGAATTTGATCTTTTCAGGATATAAGCTGCATGTATCAGATTTTCACCAACGAGGTGCTTGGTTCCGGACAGTTTGGCGTTGTCTATGAAGGTACAGATTATATTTTCTAACCTTACAAAAGGGCAGCTGTGTTTTTCAAATTTGACTCAAGACATTTTCACATTTGTTTATTTTTTCTTGTGTTGCATATAATATTCAGTTAATGGCTTTGATTCTTCAGGGGCACACAGGACGTCTGGTCGAGCTGTCGCCATAAAAGTCATCGACAAAACTCGCTTTCCCACGAAACAAGAGCATCAGCTGAAAAACGAAGGGGCCATACTCCAGGTGCGACAGACACTTTGTATTCTTGTCCGGAAAGCATGTAGGCAAGGCAAGTTTATATGTATAGCACAATTCATACACAAGGCAACTCTATGCAGTTGAGTTGAGTATATATTTCGAGTTCAATGTACATCAAACATTATCAAACAATTAAACTTTCTTTACTTTAGTCTGGGTCTGGGCTGGAGCTTCAGCGCTGCTTGAAGTCAGTCTCTTGTTAGTCTTCGCTGCATCCATCCTTCCAAAGCCACCTCTCGCTCAGACGAGATGCGTCATGCACATTCACCTCCGCACGTCATACGAATATGTATGACCTCATCACGCATTACCCTGCCCCTGGAAATTATGCAGGAAATTTGCTTGTTCAACCCCAATACGCACATTTCAAGCATTTTAAGACAAGTTTACAGGCATATGGAGGCAATTGTGGTGAATAGGCCAGGGCTCAGTCTACGCACCAGGGCATTGCTGGTGAATATACAGTGCCTTGCGAAAGTATTCGGCCCCCTTGAACCTTTCTACATCAGCCATATTTCAGGCTTCAAACATAAAGATATAACATTTTAATTTTTTGTCATGAATCAACAACAAGTGGGACACAATCATGAAGTGGAATGAAATTTGTTGGATAATTTAAACTTTTTTAACAAATAAAAAACTGAAAAGTGGGGCGTGCAATATTATTGGGCCCCTTTACTTTCAGTGCAGCAAACTCAGTCCAGAAGTTCAGTGAGGATCTTTGAATGATCCAATGTTGTCCTAAATGACTGATGATGATAAATAGAATGCACCTGTGTGTAATCAAGTCTCCATATAAATGCACCTGCTCTTTGATAGTCTCAGGGTTCTGTTTAAAGCACAGAGAGAACCATGAAGACAAAGGAACACACCAGGCAGGTCCGAGATACTGTTGTGGAGAAGTTTAAAGCCGGATTTGGATACAAAAAGATTTCCCAAGCTTTAAACATCTCAAGGAGCACTGTGCAAGCAATTATATTGAAATGGAAGGAGTATCAGACCACTGCAAATCTACCAAGACCCGGCCGTCCCTCCAAACTTTCATCTCAAACAAGGAGAAGACTGATCAGAGATGCAGTCAAGAGGCCCATGATCACTCTGGATGAACTGCAATTTTTATATCTTTATGTTTGAAGCCTGAAATGTGGCAAAATGTTGAAAGGTTCAAGGGGGCCGAATACTTTCGCAAGGCACTGTATGTGGAAGATTTTTTTATTTTGTATAGTTTTATATGTGGTTAAACTTCCACATAGTCCCTTTAAGGCAAGGCATGTAAATAAGTAAGACATCTTTATTTATATAGCACATTTGTACAGACCAAGGTCACCCAAACGCTTTACAAAGGCTGTCTGTTAGAATTAAAATATGAAAATTAAAATATAAAATTGGTTGTTAAGTGGTATGGTTGTATTTAGCTACAGCCTCTGCTTGTACAGAGCCTGTCCCATCTCGGCGTGGTTCTGCTGGAGGGGATGTTCGAGACCTCGGAACACATTTTCGTGGTGATGGAGAAACTTCACGGGGACATGTTGGAAATGATTTTGTCCAGTGAAAAGGCCCGGCTCCCTGAACGCATCACTCGCTTCCTGGTGATACAGGTAGTAGAAGTTATCGATCTTAAAGTGTTTTGAGAGTGGACACACAGGGGGGGAGGGTCACTGGTTTTAAGGTGGACTGTGACCACCTTAAGACCTAACCTTAAACCTAACCTCTTTTGTTTGTCTGTTTTTAGAGCAAATGACAAAAGAACCAATTATAATCCTTGCGCAGAAGTTACTTGCTGTCCACTTCCCAGTAGACTCTGACAGTCAGATCAGAATCAGATTCATTTAATTTTCCATTTGCAGTAAAACCACATTGGAATACATTTGCAAAAGTCGCCAGTGTGCACCAGATGAGTACATAAATAAAGATAAGATAAGATGTGCTTTATTTATCTCACAGAGGAGAAATGTACATGTCACATTTGTCATGGATAGAACACTCAGATTGTGCAAAGGGAGGAAATGTGCAAACATGTTACATGCAGGATATATGTACAATAAAAGTTACAAAAATTATGTACAACAAAAGTGACAAGTGTCAGTTGGAAACAGTGTCAATAGTAGTGCAGGTTTTCACACAGTGATCATTTAAGGTGACTTATTGTACAGTCTGACAGCAGTGGGGATAAAGGCCCTGCGGTAGCGCTCCTTCCTACACTGAGGGTGTCTCAGTCTTCCACTGAAGGAGCTCCTCAGCTCCTCCTCAGTCCTGTGCAGTGGGAGGTGTTGTTCATGATGGAGGTGACTTTGGCTAGCACCTCCTGTCCCTCACCTCCTCCACAGAGTCCAGGGGCCTCCTGTCCCTCACCTCCTCCACAGAGTCCAGGGGCCTCCTGTCCCTCACCTCCTCCACAGAGTCCAGGGGCCTCCTGTCCCTCACCTCCTCCACAGAGTCCAGGGGCCTCCTGTCCCTCACCTCCTCCTGACCAGCTTGTTCAGTCTGTTTCTGTCCCGCTCTGTGCTGCCCGGGGCCCAGCACACGGCAGCGTAGTAAATGGCAGAAGCTACCACAGAGTCATAAAAAGTCCTGAGCAGAGGCCTGCTCACTCCGAAGGACCTCAGCCTCCACAGAAGGACCTCAGCCTCCTCAGGAGGACCTCAGCCTCCTCAGAAGGACCTCAGCCTCCTCAGAAGGACCTCAGTCTCCTCAGAAGGACCTCAGCCTCCTCAGAAGGACCTCAGCCTCCTCAGAAGGAAGAGGCGACTTTGGCCCTTCTTGTGCAGGGCGTTTGTATTATGGACCAGTCCAGTTTATTGTTAATGTGAACACCCAGGTACTTGAAGCTGTCCACCAGCTCAATGTCCTCCCCCTGGATGTTAAGCAGCGTGTGGGAAAGTGGTTTTCTCCTGAAGTCGATGATCATCTCCTTGGTCTTACTGGTGTTCAAGCACAAGTGGTTGCGCTCACACCAGTCGACAAAGTCCTTGATAACCGACCGATATTCCAGTTGGTTCCCCTCAGACACACAGCCCACGATGGCAGAGTCGTCTGAGAACTTCTGCAGGTGACAGCTGTGTGTGTCGTGTGTGAAGTCTGAGGTGTAGATGGTGAAGAGAAACGGTGAGAGGACAGTGCCCTGAGGGGCCCCAGTGCTGCAGACTACCACCTCAGACTCACAGCTGCAGCCGCACGTACCGTGGTCGCTCTGAGAGGTAGTTGATGGTCCATGCAGTGAGGTAGTTGATGGTCCATGCAGTGAGGTAGTTGATGGTCCATGCAGTGAGGCTACTGTCCACTCCCGCGTCCTCCATCTTCCCCTGCAGCAGTGCCGGCCTGATGGTATTGAAAGCGCTGGAGAAGTCGAAAAACATGACCCTCACAGCGCTCCCGGCGGGCTCCAGGTGGGAGAGCGTCCGCTGCAGAAAGTAGATGACGGCGTCCTCTACTCCGATGTTGGGTCTGTAGGCGAACTGCAGCGGGTCCAGGGTGGGGCTGACCACGGAGCGGAGATGGGTGAGGATGAGCCGCTCCATTGTCTTCATCAGGTGGGAGGTCAGTGCTCCATGGTCTTCATCAGGTGGGAGGTCAGTGCTCCATGGTCTTCATCAGGTGGAGGTCAGTGCTCCATGGTCTTCATCAGGTGGGAGGTCAGTGCGACTGGTCTGTAGTGAGCCGGTTCCTTGGCGTGTGCTGTTTTTGGAACCGGCATCACACAGGAGGTCTTCCACAGGACAGGGACCTTCTCCAGGCTGAGGCTCAGGTTGTACATGTAGCTGAGGACCCCAGAGAGCTGGTCTGCACAGGTCCTCAGCAGCCTGGGACTGATCCCGTCCGGTCCTGCGGATTTCCTCAGCTTCAGGCGCTGGAGCTGACTCCTCACCTGGTCCGGTGTGATGGAGAGGGGGGAGGACCGGGGTGTACTGTCCGAGGTGGGGGCTGGGGATGCGGGGGCTGGAGGGCCCGGGGATGTGGGGGCAGGAGGGCCCGGGGCAGCCGGAGGCAGTGTCCACTGGGCGGTGTCCACTGGGCTGGGGACGTGTGAAGAGGTGGGGGCGGGAGGGGGGGCAGATGGAGAGGGGGGAGAATCAAACCGGTTGAAGTACTGGTTAAACCTAAAAAAGTGCAAGAAACAATTGACACTGTGAAATCAAAACTGAAGCGAGATGTCCTTCCTGAAGGAAGAAGCTGGAACATGGCTTTTCCAGGGGCCAGAAGAGTCATTGATAATTCTAAGAGCTCGGTTTAAAAGTCTGGATTTATAAAGAACCTCCAGAACAGGAAGCTCACAGTCCTCTCTCTGGTCTCTCTCTGGTCTCTCTCTGCTCTTTCTCTGCAATCTCTCTGCTCTCTCTATGGTCTCTCTCTCTGGTCTCTCTAGGGTCTCTCTCTCTTGTCTCTCTATGGTCTCTCTATGGTCTCTCTCTCTGGTCTCTCTCTGGTCTCTCTCTCTGGTCTCTCTATGGTCTCTCTCTGGTCTCTCTCTCTGATCTCTCTCTCTGGTCTCTCTCTCTGGTCTCTCTCTCTGGTCTCTCTATGGTCTCTCTCTGGTCTCTCTCTCTGGTCTCTCTCTCTGGTCTCTCTCTCTGGTCTCTCTCTCTGATCTCTCTCTCTGGTCTCTCTCTCTGGTCTCTCTCTCTGGTCTCTCTCTGGTCTCTCTCTCTGGTCTCTCTCTCTGGTCTCTCTCTGGTCTCTCTCTTGTTTCTCTCTGGTCTCTCTCTCTGGTCTCTCTCTCTGGTCTCTCTCTGATCTCTCTCTGGTCTCTCTCTGATCTCTCTCTGGTCTCTCTATGGTCTCTCTCTCTGGTCTCTCTCTCTCTGGTCTCTCTCTGGTCTCTCTCTCTGGTCTCTCTCTGGTCTCTCTCTCTGGTCTCTCTCTGGTCTCTCTCTCTTGTCTCTCTCTCTCTGGTCTCTCTCTCTGGTTTCTCTCTGGTCTCTCTCTCTGATCTCTCTCTCTGGTCTGTCTGGTCTTTCTCTCTGGTCTCTCTCTGGTCTCTCTCTCTGGTCTCTCTCTGATCTCTCTCTGGTCTCTCTCTGGTCTCTCTCTGGTCTCTCTCTGGTCTCTCTATGGTCTCTCTCTGGTCTCCCTCTCTGGTCACTCTCTCTGGTCACTCTCTGGTCTCTCTCTCTCTGGTCTCTCTCTGGTCTCTGTATGGTCTCTCTATGGTCTCTCTCTCTGGTCTCTCTCTGGTCTCTCTCTATGGTCTCTCTCTCTGGTCTCTCTATCTGATCTCTCTCTGGTCTCTCTCTGGTCTCTCTATGGTCTCTCTCTCTGGTCTCTCTCTGGTCTCCCTCTCTGGTCTCTCTCTCTGGTCACTCTCTGGTCTCTCTCTCTGGTCTCTCTCTGGTCTCTCTCTCTGGTCTCTCTCTGGTCTCTCTCTCTGGTCTCTCTCTGGTCTCTGTATGGTCTCTCTATGGTCTCTCTCTCTGGTCTCTCTCTGGTCTCTCTCTGGTCTCTCTCTATGGTCTCTCTCTCTGGTCTCTATCTGGTTTCTCTCTGGTCTCCCTCTCTGATCCCTCTCTCTGGTCTCTGTCTGGTCTCTCTCTCTGGTCTCTCTCTGGTCTCTCTCTCTGGTCTCTCTATGGTCTCTCTCTCTGGTCTCTCTCTCTGGTCTCTCTCTGGTTTCTCTCTGGTCTCTCTCTGATCTCTCTCTGGTCTCTCTCTGGTCTCTCTATGGTCTCTCTATGGTCTCTCTCTCTGGTCTCTCTCTGGTCTCTCTCTGGTCTCTCTCTCTTGTCTCTCTCTCTCTGGTCTCTCTCTCTGATCTCTCTCTCTGGTCTGTCTGGTCTCTCTCTCTGGTCTCTCTCTGGTCTCTCTCTGGTCTCTCTATGGTCTCTCTATGGTCTCTCTCTCTGGTCTCTCTCTCTGGTTTCTCTCTGGTCTCTCTCTCTGATCTCTCTCTCTGGTCTGTCTGGTCTCTCTCTCTGATCTCTCTCTGGTCTCTCTCTCTGGTCTCTCTCTGATCTCTCTCTGGTCTCTCTATGGTCTCTCTATGGTCTCTCTCTCTGGTCTCTCCCTGGTCTCTCTCTGGTCTCTCTCTGGTCTCTCTCTCTGGTCTCTCTCTGGTCTCTCTCTCTAGTCTCTCTCTCTAGTCTCTCTCTCTCTGGTCTCTCTATCTGGTTTCTCTCTGGTGTCTCTCTCTGATCTCTCTCTCTGGTCTGTCTGGTCTCTCTCTCTGGTCTCTCTCTGATCTCTCTCTTGTCTCTCTATGGTCTCTCTCTCTGGTCTCTCTCTCTGGTCTCTCTATGGTCTCCCTATGGTCTCTCTCTGGTCTCTCTCTCTGGTCTCTCTCTGGTCTCTCTCTCTGGTCTCTCTCTGGTCTCTCTCTCTGGTCTCTCTCTCTGGTCTCTCTCTATGGTCTCTCTCTATGGTCTCTCTCTGGTCTCTCTCTCTGGTCTCTCTCTGGTCTCTCTCTCTGGTCTCTCTCTCTGGTCTCTCTCTGGTCTCTCTCTCTGGTCTCTCTATGGTCTCTCTCTCTGGTCTCTCTCTCTGGTCTCTCTCTGGTTTCTCTCTGGTCTCTCTCTGATCTCTCTCTGGTCTCTCTATGGTCTCTCTATGGTCTCTCTATGGTCTCTCTCTCTGGTCTCTCTCTGGTCTCTCTCTGGTCTCTCTCTGGTCTCTCTCTCTTGTCTCTCTCTCTCTGGTCTCTCTCTCTGATCTCTCTCTCTGGTCTGTCTGGTCTCTCTCTCTGGTCTCTCTCTGGTCTCTCTCTCTGGTCTCTCTCTGGTCTCTCTCTCTGGTCTCTCTCTCTGATCTCTCTCTCTGGTCTGTCTGGTCTCTCTCTATGGTCTCTCTATGGTCTCTCTCTCTGGTCTCTCTCTCTGGTTTCTCTCTGGTCTCTCTCTCTGATCTCTCTCTCTGGTCTGTCTGGTCTCTCTCTCTGATCTCTCTCTGGTCTCTCTCTGATCTCTCTCTGGTCTCTCTATGGTCTCTCTATGGTCTCTCTCTCTGGTCTCTCCCTGGTCTCTCTCTGGTCTCTCTCTGGTCTCTCTCTCTGGTCTCTCTCTGGTCTCTCTCTCTAGTCTCTCTCTCTAGTCTCTCTCTCTCTGGTCTCTCTCTATCTGGTTTCTCTCTGGTGTCTCTCTCTGATCTCTCTCTCTGGTCTGTCTGGTCTCTCTCTCTGGTCTCTCTCTGATCTCTCTCTTGTCTCTCTATGGTCTCTCTCTCTGGTCTCTCTCTCTGGTCTCTCTCTCTGGTCTCTCTATGGTCTCCCTATGGTCTCTCTCTGGTCTCTCTCTCTGGTCTCTCTCTGGTCTCTCTCTGGGTCTCTCTATGGTCTCTCTATGGTCTCTCTATGGTCTCTCTCTCTGGTCTCTCTCTGGTCTCTCTCTGGTCTCTCTCTGGTCTCTCTCTCTTGTCTCTCTCTCTCTGGTCTCTCTCTCTGATCTCTCTCTCTGGTCTGTCTGGTCTCTCTCTCTGGTCTCTCTCTGGTCTCTCTCTCTGGTCTCTCTCTGATCTCTCTCTGGTCTCTCTATGGTCTCTCTATGGTCTCTCTCTCTGGTCTCTCTCTCTGGTTTCTCTCTGGTCTCTCTCTCTGATCTCTCTCTCTGGTCTGTCTGGTCTCTCTCTCTGATCTCTCTCTGGTCTCTCTCTCTGGTCTCTCTCTGATCTCTCTCTGGTCTCTCTATGGTCTCTCTATGGTCTCTCTCTCTGGTCTCTCCCTGGTCTCTCTCTGGTCTCTCTCTGGTCTCTCTCTCTGGTCTCTCTCTGGTCTCTCTCTCTAGTCTCTCTCTCTCTGGTCTCTCTATCTGGTTTCTCTCTGGTGTCTCTCTCTGATCTCTCTCTCTGGTCTGTCTGGTCTCTCTCTCTGGTCTCTCTCTGATCTCTCTCTTGTCTCTCTATGGTCTCTCTCTCTGGTCTCTCTCTCTGGTCTCTCTCTCTGGTCTCTCTATGGTCTCCCTATGGTCTCTCTCTGGTCTCTCTCTCTGGTCTCTCTCTGGTCTCTCTCTCTGGTCTCTCTCTGGTCTCTCTCTCTGGTCTCTCTCTCTGGTCTCTCTCTCTGGTCTCTCTCTGGTCTTACCGTCACAGAACCAACAAGCAAACTCTCAATGTTGCACCGATAAAAGTGAAGCAGGATCTTAGAGTTAGTGGTAAATTCTCTAAGTTTCCGTATAAAGTGGAGACGCTGAGCTTTCTTAACGACCTGTGGGTGTTTTTGTCCCATTTCAGGTCGTCAGACAAAGCCCATTAGCTTTAGATTGGATCAGATTATAGATCATTACAGAATTTTGTCTTCCACTTTACGTGTTGCTTTTGTCTGCAGATTCTGGAGGCGCTGCGGTACCTTCACTTGAAACACATCGCTCACTGTGATCTCAAACCTGAAAATGTGCTCTTGACCTCCTCAGACCCTCTTCCTCAGGTCAGCGTTCATTTGGACAACTTTTTATTATTCCAGGTGGAGAAACTATTAATCTCCATGATCACAGAAATACTGCTTCCCTCAGTTACTAGTGATTACTGGTATACTTACAGGTATATAGAAGGATTTTCTACTTCCAGGTGGATCATCTTCTAGACTATTGGTCCTCCTAACTGTCAATCATTCTGGAGATACATGATCGTCCAATAAGACCAGAGAGTTTTGTTCAATAAGTGGAGAGGGAGGTTCTTTCCTAAAATTTGGGAAAATCCTCCTTTATACCGTTAAGAATTTGAGATATTTCATTGTCTTTATTTTTATCATGACAAACAAACAGTAAAATATAGTGTTTCATTGTTTAAGTGTTTCATTGTTTAAGCTCGCAAGCAAACGAGGGTTAGAAAAAAACAAGAAAAAAAATAAATCCGCTGGCAATAGCAGATGTATTTTTAACTTCATAAGCCACAAGCTATATATCATTTTAAAGCTTATTTTCTCAGCTATATTTATATGTAAGTGTAAACAATATCAGATTCTGCATTAAAAAGATATAGCGCATAATATGGGCACAAAATAAATCGTATTTGTATAAGTTTCTTACCTTTTGTCTTCTGCTGCTCCTACAAATTAGACTTTCCCCATCCTTGCTTAGTCTCTTTCTCTCCATACGTCTTCATTGAAAAATAATATCCACTTGTATTTCCCAAAGTATAATCCATTCTTCATAAATAATCCTAAAATTTGCATTTTTCTGTTGCAAAAAAAAACGCTCCGAAAAATGTTCAGGCTTCTCTTTCACATTTCACCAAGTTTGAGCTTTGTTTACCCCCACTAACATCATATCCACGTGTTCCTTCAAAAAGAGAGGTTCCATGAAAAGATAGGAGCAGGTTTCAGTCCGCAGGACCCTTGTGAAAAAGACAAACCGCATCCACCTGCACAGGGTCCGTTTTCCCTTGTTGTTGATTACACGGCTAGCGCAATGTGCTAGCACTGAATGATTGACGTGTCTAAGTAGCCAATAAAAAGAGCTTTCAATTGATGGGTGGGACTTATAGGAACTCTTTTCATTTTCACAGTAAAAGCGTCAGTAAAGACGCTGTTATTACTACTGTGCATATTTCATATGCATTTACACTACAAAAAAATAATTTTTAAAAAATGTAAAAAAATCACACAGATTTGTAACTTATAAGTACCAAAACTAAAAACTATGCTTTATATTTATGATGGTGAAATGTTAGTAAATCAGTTTGGCACAATTTGGCACCAATTTTGCCAAATTGGTTCCGAATGGCACTACTTGATAAAAAAGAGAAACTGCATAAAAACTATAAAACTTAGAAGTTTGAAACTTTACACAGTTGTTGTCAAAAACACAATGAACAAATTAGTGTTGAAAATGTTCTTCTTCCAATGAAGTAGGCTTTTGTAGGGCATTTATACGTTGAATTTTTTAGGCGAGGCTAAAAAAAAACAGGTTTTTTTCCCAAACTTCAAAGGATGCAGAGTGAAATAGGAATGATATACATTATTTCAGTGTATATTTACATAAACTAGAAGGGCCTAACTTTAAAATGATGCATCACACAAGCATGTGAGATGTAAGATGTGTTTTTAAATAAGCAAAGACATTTGGGTATGCCAAACTTTTGTGCACGAGCCAAAGCAGATGTAGGAGTTTAAGAGGTTAATAATCAATACCCAAAAGTAGTAACTACTTTATTAGTAACTAATAAAGTAGTAGTAAATGTTTTTCCCTACATAAAGGCTCTTATTGAAGTAACATTTTGTGAACCTAACAGACCTCAACACTCTGTCTTGGCAAGGCAAGGCAAGGCAAGTTTATTTATATAGCACAATTCATACACAAGGCAATTCAAAGTGCTGAACAAAACAAGAAAGCATTAAAATCATAAATAATCACAGAACATTAAAAAGAAAGATACAAATATAAAATCCCTCAGTTGTATGCACAGCTAAACAGAACTATCTTTAACCTGGTTTTAAACATTGTCAGAGAGGAGGCCTGTCTCACATCTTCAGGAAGACTGTTCCAGATTTTAGCAGCATGAATCTGAAAAGCAGCCTCCCCATGTTTAGTTCTGACTCTGGGCACTAACAGGAGTCCAGTCCCTGTGCTCCTCAGAGTCCGGGCTGGTTCATATGGGACTAACATGTCACTAATATATTTTGGTGCAAGGCCATGGAGAGACTTGTACACAAGCAGAGCTGTTTTAAAGTCTATTCTCTGAGCCACAGGAAGCCAGTGCAGAGACCTGAGGACCGGACTAATATGGTCGTACTTCCTGGTTCTAGTCAGGACTAATGTGGTCGTACTTCCTGGACTGGAGCTGCTGCATTTGAATGCACTGCAGCTGTTTTACAGCCTGTTTGGAAAGACCTGTGAGCAGGCCATTGCAGTAGTCTAACCTACTGGAGACAAATGCATGGATAAGAATCTCCAGGTCTGCTTTAGACACTATGTTTTTGATCCTGGCAATGTTTTTTAGATGGTAAAAAGCTGCTGATGTTACTGATTTGATGTGGCTATTAAAATTTAAGTCTGAGTCCAGTATTACCCCTAGATTTCTGACCTTGTTTGAAGGTTTTAGGGAGAGAGACTGGAGGTGACAGATGACGCTCTCTCTTTGTTTCTGGGGACCAAAGACAATCATTTCAGTTTTGTCTGCGTTTAGCTGAAGGAAGTTGTTTTGCATCCACTCACTGATCTGTTGGATACAGTGAAGGAGTGAGTCCACTGGTCCATGTTCTCCTGCAGTCAGTGAGACATAGATCTGAGTGTTGTCTGCATAGTTATGATAGGACACTTTGTTTCTGCGTATTAACTGACCTAACGGCAGCATGTAGAGATTGAACAGAAGAGGTCCCAGGATCGACCCCTGTGGTACTCCACAGGTCAGGGCCATATGATCTGAGACACAGTTTCCAATCTCCACAAAGTACTTCCTGTCCTCAAGGTAAGACCTAAACCAACTTAGGGCGGTACCAGCGACGCCAACCCAGTCCTCTAGTCTCTGTAAGAGGATCTCATGGTCGACGGTGTCAAAGGCAGCACTTAGATCTAACAAGATTAAGATTGAGACTTTGCCTGCGTCAGTGTTCAGCCGGATATCGTTTGTAACCTTAACAAGAGCAGTCTCAGTGCTGTGGTGGGGTCTAAAGCCGGACTGAAACATATCAAATGAGTTGTTGATTATAAGAAATCTAGTAAGCTGTAGGTAGACAACTTTCTCAAGGACTTTCCCCATAAATGGCAGATTTGAGATGGGACGATAGTTGTTAAGTACCGTAGCATCGAGACTGCTCTTTTTTAGCAGGGGCCTGATGACTGCAGTTTTCAGGGCCTTTGGGAATATTCCAGAATGAAGGGACATGTTTACTATCTGTGTGAGTGAAGGTAACAGACTGCTCAGAACAGACTTCAGAAATCTAGTGGGTAGTACATCCAGGCTGCATGTGGAGGAGCTCAAACTGGAGATTATCTCTTGGACAGTTTTATCATTTACAGGTGCAAAGTGAGTTAGCTCAGAGAGCCTTTCTGGCTGTTGGATGGTTATCTGTGGATTGGAGACAATGGCGTTTTTGATGCCTTGAACCTTGTCATTGAAAAAATTAGCAAACTCATTGCATTTGCGTTTGGAAGTAAGCTCTAATGGCATTTGAACAGGGGGGTTTGTTAATCTATTAACTGTTGAGAACAGAACACGCAGATTGTTGCTGCAGCCTTCAATCATTTCAGAAAAATACCTTTCTCTCGTACTACGTAGCACCCGGTTAAACTCGCACAACTTATCTTTGAAGATCTCGTAATCAACCTGGAGGTTGGACTTGCGCCACTTCCGCTCGGCCCTCCGGCATTTTCTCTTTTGTGCCCTGACCGAGTCTGCTTTAGCCCACGGCGCCTTCTGCTTATTTTTCACTATTTTAACCTTCACAGGGGCAACGGTATCCAGAACATTCAAAACACTAGAGGTGACAGAGTTAAACAGTTCATCTACAGTAGAATACAATGCATTCTCAAAGTTTATCATTCCCATAAATAGTTCACTCGTATTTTCATTTATGTTTCTTCTTCGTACAGTTGCAGAATCCACTGGTGGTTTGTTAGTGAAACACATGTCAAAAAAAACACAGAAATGATCCGAAAGAGCAACATCGACCACGTTTACATTTGAAATAATCACCCCCTTTGTAACTAACAGATCTAGAGTGTGCCCTCTGCTGTGGGTGGGGCCACTTACGTGCTGAGTGAGATCAAAGGATTCAAGTACAGAACTCAGCTCATTTGCATTTCTGTCATCAAAATTATCCACATGAATATTAAAATCACCTGTAATAACCAAACTATCAAAATCTGTGCATACAACTGCAAGCAACTCGGTAAAATTATCAATAAAACTGTGACATGACTGCGGTGGCTTGTATAGGACAATGAAGAGTATTGGAGGAGATTGTTTTTGTTGTATTTTAAAAGACACATATTCAAATGACGAAAACTTCCCAAGAGACATTCTATGGGAGACAAAGTGGTCTCTAAAAATGGCAACTAAGCCTCCTCCTTTTTTGTTTTCCCGTATTTCAGATTCAAACTTGAAATTTGGTGGTGATGCTTCTATTAAAACTGCATTTCCTGAATTTTGGTCAAGCCAAGTTTCAGCCATGAACATAAGATCAAGATTATGAGAACAAATAAAATTATTGATTAAAAAAGACTTGTTACAAAGAGATCTGACATTAAGCATAGCAAGTTTCAAAGTTTCAGTATCAGCGGTTGTGGTCGGCTGATTCTTACACAGAACAAGAATTAGATTTTCCAGATTAGACTGATTAACTCCAGATGTCTTTCTGTAATGTATTCTTTGTGTTATCACTAAGGGAATGGCACAGGTGGCTTCATGACAGGGCCCCAGCCGGGTCTCTCCTCTAACTAGACTGCCAGTGGCTGCGAAGCAGAGACCCTGTGCATTCTAGTGTTTAGAGAAAAGAGGGGAAGGGGAAGGTGGGGGAGGAGGATGGAGAGGTGGGTGATTTGAATTTTTTTTTTTACATACTTGGGCAAGGGTGAGCCCTGTGGGTCATGATTGGACGCTTTGGCTCAGAAGCTTATTGGCCGAGTGAGGGGGTCCTGTTTTTTTCAACCCTAACCCTAAGTAAAGAAGCAGAGGCCTAACATGATCTGCATGTGAAAACTAGTCATCGAACCTAGATATTTGTTGTTATTCTTATTATTATAGTTGCATTTTTTCAATTCAATTCAATGTATGGGTTAGGGTTAGGGTAAAGCCCTAAATTTCAACAGTAGTTATTTCAAAGGACTTTACAAAACTGTTGAATTCACCAACGCAGATCAGAAAATCAAACATAAAAAATGCAACGTTAAAAAACACATGAAGGTCTGTAAAGGACAGATGACCAAGGTTCATAAATGTTGATTCGTTTTGGATTTAAACTTTCTCTCTCGCTCGTGTTTGTGGCTCCAGGTGAAGCTGTGTGACTTTGGCTTCGCCCGCATCATTGGAGAGAAGTCTTTCCGGCGCTCTGTGGTGGGCACCCCTGCGTACCTGGCCCCAGAGGTGGTGGGCATGGGGGGCTACAACCGCTCCCTGGACATGTGGTCCGTGGGGGTCATTCTCTATGTGAGTCTGAGCGGGACGTTCCCCTTTAATGAGGACGAGGACATCAAGCAGCAGATCGCCAACGCTGCTTTCATGTACCCACGACACACCTGGGCCATGGTGTCGCTGCAAGGTGAGAGGTTCTCAGGCATATTTCACATTGACACTATTTGGATTAACAATAGTAGTAGTAGTAGTAGTAGTAGTATTAGTATTAGTAGTAGTAGTAGTATAGTTTATTTTAATAGACAAAAATATATTGTTCACTTTTGAGTCACTATTTCTACTTGAAGCTTGGAACTGAAATCTGCCTCATTAAAGCATCTTTATGACTCGGGTTTAGAGACTTTTACCATCCAACTGCATCTCAACCATTTGGTAGAGGCCTTTATAGAGGCCAAAATAGTCCTCCTACTTCTTAGGATAAAAATGCATTGCTCTCTTTTAGGAGTGAACATTAAAGATGCAGTCAGTGATTTTTTCCAGACACATGTTTTTAAATATTGTGGGAAAACGTCCCTAAACGCTAAAAGTCATCATGTGTTTTCAAACAGTAACGGAATTAACCAGATGCCTTTAGTCTCCAAAAATTAATAAAAAATATATTTTGGAGCAGGCCAATAAAAATAAATGTGTTTACCCCAGTGGGGGAGGGTCCCAGCTCAAAAGTGGCCAAAATGACGTGCGCTGACATGCTGCAATACCACTCCGGGCCGTTGGGGGTGGACCCAGAAGAAGAATTAGCCAATGCTAACATATAGCGTTAGCAGACCTCTCAAAAACGTCTTTACAGGATGGACCAAAAGTTGGCTCTTGGCCCAAAGCTCCGTTCCACATGTGTGTCAATACTGAGGGGGGTGATTTTTTTTGGTCCACTCTAGTTTACTCGCGGGGAATTTTTGAAGTCTCTCGTTCAAATGAATGGAGCTGCGCCAGCTGACGCATGCGCAGATGCGTTTTTTCACAATTTTCTTGTGGGCGGGACCACTCGCGGCCATCTTGGATTGCTCCATGAAAGCACTTTTCATGGCCAACTCCTATGAACGGCGGAGATAGGCGTGACTCTGTCCGTTAATATATACAGTCTATGGTTTACCCCCAACAAACCCCCTTTCACATTTTCTAAAACCTAAAATGGCTGAACAGAAAATGCCGCACTAACCCATAAAGATCCATGGTTTGATCTTGGTGTTTTATTTTGTTTATGTGAATCCAGACATGAGTCCTTACAATTGACCAATCAGGAGCCTTCCAAATTTGGCTTTAGCTAGCCACGAGGAACAGCCTGGCCTTAGCCATTCTCGCTCTGGGACAGGAGTCAATAGAGAAAGGAAAATATGTACAATACTTGTTTGAATGCTGTATATGTTTGTTATGTTTTTCACCGCTCCAACACTGTAAAAAGTGAATCAGACCAAACTGTCATGTAAAATAATTACTATGTACTACTGTATAATAGTATCATAGCAGCCTGTACAGTACTGATTTTATTGCTTTAAGTGAAGATACTTTAAGTGTTTCTTTGGTAAGCCTGGTTCATTAATGACAAAACCGATATATTGTGTTGATTGAAAACAAATATATTGTGTTGTGGCGAAGCAGTGACGCTACCCAGAATGCATTGCAGAGAAAAACATAAACTTCTTAAAAATTCTACATTTGAGCATTCATTTTGAGAGTGAATATGGAGCAAGTCCTGAAGCAAAATACTTGAGCAACATTTACAATAAACTAAATTGACCAAATAAGTATTTATTTTTACCAACCGTAATTGACAGGGCCAAGCCAAAGCAACCGCATAGTCCTGGGTGATCATAGGTCTAGTCCAGATAATAGTTCATGGTCACTATGTCAGCTTAAACAAAGGATAAAAAGAGCAGCAAATATTATTACTTTTCAGCATAAGAGTTTTTGGAGGTCAGGACCTTATTATATAATGATTACAATATCTAACAAACTTCCTCCGGGTAGAGGTTTAAGTTACACTTTAAATGAACAGAAAAACTACTTTTGATCCGTGTTTCGGACACTCGGGTGAAGAAAGGGGCGGAGCTGTCAACCGATCACCACCTGGTCGTGAGTTGGATCCGCTGGCAGGGGAGGAAGCCGGTCAGACCTGGCAGACCCAAGCGTGTAGTGAGGGTCTGCTGGGAACGTCTTGCTGAGCCCCCTGTCAGACGGACTTTCAACTCACACCTCCGGGAGAGCTTCTCCCAGATCCCGGCGGAGGAGGGGGATATCGAGTCTGAGTGGACCATGTTCTCTTCCTCTATCGCCGATGCGGCGGCTCGTAGCTGTGGTCGCAGGGTCTCTGGTGCTGGTCCCGGCGGCAACCCCCAAACCCGGTGGTGGACACCGGCAGTAAGGGATGCCGTCAGGCTGAAGAAGGAGTCCTATCGAGCCATGATGGTTCGGGGGACTCCTGAGGCAGCTGTCCAGTACCGGCAGGCCAAACGTGCCGCGGCCCGGGCTGTTGCAGAGGCAAAAACCCGGGACTGGGAGGAGTTCGGAGAGTCCATGGAGCATGATTATCGGTCGGCCTCGAAGAGATTCTGGCAAACTGTCCGGCGCCTCAGGAGGGGGAAGCAGTTCTTTGCCAACACCGTGTACGGTGCGGGGGGTAAGCTGCTGACCTCGACTGGGGATATTGTCGGGCGGTGGAAGGAATACTTCGAGGTTCTCCCCCCGTCACGTCCTCCGCGGAGGAGGCAGAGGCTGAGGATGTTGGGGCGGATACTTCTGTCTCCCTGGCGGAGGTCACCAAGGTGGTTGGCAGCCTCCTTGGTGGCAAGGCGCCGGGAGTGGATGAGATCCGCCCTGACTATCTAAAGTCTCTGGATGTTGTAGGACTGTCTTGGCTGACACGTCTCTGCAGCATCGCGTGGCGATCGGGGGCGGTGCCAATGGAGTGGCAGACCGGGGTGGTGGTCCCTCTCTACAAGAAGGGGGACCGGAGGGTGTGTTCCAATTATCGTGGGATCACACTCCTCAGCCTCCCTGGTAAGGTTTACTCCAAGGTACTGGAGAGGAAGCTACGGCCGATGGTCGAATCTCGGATTCAGGAAGAGCAGTGTGGTTTTCGCCCCGGCCGCGGAACACTGGACCAGCTCTACACTCTCCATCGGATACTCGAGGGTTCATGGGAGTTCGCCCAACTTGTCCACATGTGCTTTGTGGATTTGGAGAAGGCGTTCGACCGTGTTCCCCGGGGTGTCCTTTGGGACGTCCTCCGTGAGTACGGGGTCCGGGGTCCTCTGCTGAGGGCCATCCGGTCCCTGTATGACCGGAGCCAGAGCTGTGTTCGCATTGCCGGCAGTAAGTCAGACCTGTTCCCGGTGAATGTTGGCCTCCGACAGGGCTGCCCTTTGTCACCGGTTCTGTTCACTGTATTTATGGACAGAATATCTAGGCGCAGCCAGGGGTCGGAGGGGGTCCGGTTCGGGGACCACAGGATTTCATCTCTGCTGTTTGCAGACGATGTTGTCCTGTTGGCTCCAACGAACCAGTACCTACAACATGCACTGGGACGGTTTACAGCCAAGTGTGAAGCGGCTGGGATGAGAATCAGCACCTCCAAATCTGAGGCCATGGTGCTCGACCGGAAAAAGGTGCCTTGCCCTCTACAGGTGGGTGGAGAGGTCCTTCCTCAAGTGGAGGAGTTCAAGTATCTCGGGGTCTTGTTCACGAGTGAGGGAAGAATGGAGCGTGAGATTGACAGGCGGATCGGTTCAGCGTGCGCAGTGATGCGGTCGCTGTATCGGACCGTTGTGGTAAAGAGGGAGCAGCGTCTGCAGTCAGAGCTGTATCGGACCGTTGTGGTAAAGAGGGAGCTGAGCCGAAAGGCAAAGCTCTCAATTTACCGATCAATCTTCGTTCCCTCCCTCACTTATGGTCATAAGCTTTGGGTAATGACCGAAAGAACAAGATCGCGGATACAAGCGGTCAAAATGAGCTTCCTGCGCAGAGTGGCTGGGCGCTCTCTTAGAGATAGGGTGAGCTCAGTCACACGGGAGGAGCTCGGAGTAGAGCCGCTGCTACTCCACGTCGAGAGGAACCAGTTGAGGTGGCTCGGGCATCTGTTCAGGATGCCTCTTGGACGCCTCCCTGGGGAGGTGTTCCGGGCACGTCCCACCGGGAGGAGGCCCCGGGGAAGACCCAGGACACGCTGGAGGGACTATGTCTCTCAGCTGGCCTGGGAACGCCTTGGGGTCCCCCCGGACGAGCTGGAGGAAGTGTGTGTGGATAGGGAAGTCTGGGCATCTCTGCTTAGACTGCTGCCTCCGCGACCCAGCAACAGATGAAGCGGAAGAAGATGGATGGATGGATGAACAGAAAAATATTAAGTACATTTATCACTTCAAAGTAAAATAGTTTTGCATTCTGTCAAATTGAATTTAGTTATTATTTATTACTTAATAAAGAGCTGAAGATGATATTACTCAAAAAGGCCAATGGAACCTCTCACAGTATGTTTTTGGTTTTCTGATTAAAGCAACACTTTTTACAGTGAACTTCCAATCTCTGTCAGAGCGGTTCCTGGTGTAAAATATATCAAATAAATAACATCATTTTTTACAGTGCTCAGAACACTCTTAATGTCTCCTTATGACTGTAGAAGGAGGGTATGATTATTATTATCATATATACTTCTACATGTGAAGCTCTCCTGTCATACTCAGTCCTTCCACTAGATGGCACTAACGCACTGTGTGTGGCTCCTCCAGCGGTGAGTCTGATCAACAACCTGCTCCAAGTGTCCGTGCGGCGGCGCTACAGCGTGGGAAAAGCCCTGGGACACTGCTGGCTCCAGGTAAGAGTCCAAACTTGTCCAAACACGTCCACGGCTGGAGGCAAATACTCATTCTGGGAAAATACTCACATCCCAAACCAAATGGGCAAAGAATAAACCAGAGGAAAATCTACATCCAGAATGAAAAATAAAGAGAATAGAGGATTTATTCAAAACACACCAATCATTCATACTTTCAGTACTTACAGTTCATGTTCAACTGCCCTTGATACTTGCAATTATAATTTTTAATTTATGTGTATGTATTTTGAAGAGACAAAAAAAATAGTTAATCTCAATGGATCATTACTGCACAACCCTTCTTCAGAATGTTGCTTCTGAATATGATAAGATGGACTTTATTGATCTCACAATTGAGAAAGTGTCTAAATCAGTTAATACTGTATGAAACATGGCCTACTTTTGATCAGGCCAAAAAAATGTCTCCGCCATGCAAAAACAGTAATGAAAACGCTAGTAAGAGTTTGAATTCCAATGATTCATGTTAAAGCTGCGGTAACCTAGCTTCTTCATTAATCACTTATGTAGTCTGTCATTGTGAACAAATCAGACCACTACATTCTGTCATTGGAAAACATGTTATCTTTAGCCTGCCTGTAAGAGAGAGCCCTGTGAGTCACTATTTGAAGCTTTGCCTTTAAGAGAGAGCCCTGTGAGTCACTATTTGAAGCTTGGGCTGAGAGTTAGATCGTTCCTAGCCTGGCCTTAGCCATCCGTACACACCGGTCGACAATCATTTCCCTGCATGTAATTTGTACTATGGTGTGGTACGACCTGTTTCTTTCTGTTTCACTTTTTGGTTGATTATTCCAAGGAGTTTGAAAGTTGGCTATATCAGCTTCTCCATCGACTCCACTGCGGTCATTGTGTCCTTTGGCAAGACACTTGACCCACTTTTCCTATAAGGTGTGTGTGTGTGTGTGTGTGTACAGTATGTGTGTATTCATCAAAACTGAGATTTTCCCCACTGTGGGAGGAATAAAGGACCTTCTTCTAAAATGTGTATATGTGTATGTCCTGTAGCAGGTGATTGTCTACAGGCTTTTTTGTGGATGTACTTCATAAAGTTTGATTTTATATCTATATTATTTCTCCTGAAACACAACATGTGAGTAGATGTATCTGGACTGTGTGGATGAGGTTGGATTGTTAGTTTGTTTTTCTTGCTGCAGAACTTCCAGCTGTGGTGCGACCTGAGGGAGTTTGAGCAGAGGCTGAGGTGTCGCTATCTGACCCACCAAAGTGATGACGATCGCTGGAGAATCTATGCCCAAGAAAAGGGCCTGGATCTGCCCCCTCACCTCCACTAGGACCCCCACAGCAGAGGCCTGTCCCCCTCACCTCCACTAGGACCCCCACAGCAGAGGCCTGTCCCCCTCACCTCCACTAGGACCCCCACAGCAGAGGCCTGTCCCCCTCACCTCCACTAGGACCCCCACAGCAGAGGCCTGTGTCCCCTCACCTCCACTAGGACCCCCACAGCAGAGGCCTGTCCCCCTCACCTCCACTAGGACCCCCACAGCAGAGGCTTGTGCCCCCTCACCTCCACTAGGACCCCCACAGCAGAGGCTTGTGCCCCTCACCTCCACTAGGACCCCCACAGCAGAGACCTGTGCCCCCTCACCTCCACTAGGACCCCCACAGCAGAGGCCTGTGTCCCTCACCTCCACCTCACCTCCACTAGGACCCCCACAGCAGAGGCCTGTGTCCCTCACCTCCACTAGGACCCCCACAGCAGAGGCCTGTCCCCCTCACCTCCACTAGGACCCCCACAGCAGAGGCCTGTCCCCCTCACCTCCACTAGGACCCCCACAGCAGAGGCCTGTGTCCCCTCACCTCCACTAGGACCCCCACAGCAGAGGCCTGTCCCCCTCACCTCCACTAGGACCCCCACAGCAGAGGCCTGTGTCCCCTCACCTCCACTAGGACCCCCACAGCAGCAGGCCTGTCCCCCTCACCTCCACTAGGACCCCCACAGCAGAGGCTTGTGCCCCCTCACCTCCACTAGGACCCCCACAGCAGAGGCTTGTGCCCCTCACCTCCACTAGGACCCCCACAGCAGAGACCTGTGCCCCCTCACCTCCACTAGGACCCCCACAGCAGAGGCCTGTGTCCCTCACCTCCACCTCACCTCCACTAGGACCCCCCACAGCAGAGGCCTGTGTCCCTCACCTCCACTAGGACCCCCACAGCAGAGGCCTGTGCCCCCTCACCCCCCACAGCAGAGGCCTGTGCCCCTCACCTCCACTAGGACCCCCACAGCAGAGGCCTGTGCCCCCTCACCCCCACAGCAGAGGCCTGTGCCCCTCACCTCCACTAGGACCCCCACAGCAGAGGCCTGTGCCCCTCACCTCCACTAGGACCCCCACAGCAGAGGCCTGTGCCCCCTCACCCCCACAGCAGAGGCCTGTCCCCCTCACCTCCACTAGGACCCCCACAGCAGAGGCCTGTGTCCCCTCACCTCCACTAGGACCCCCACAGCAGAGGCCTGTCCCCCTCACCTCCACTAGGACCCCCACAGCAGAGGCTTGTGCCCCCTCACCTCCACTAGGACCCCCACAGCAGAGGCTTGTGCCCCTCACCTCCACTAGGACCCCCACAGCAGAGACCTGTGCCCCCTCACCTCCACTAGGACCCCCACAGCAGAGGCCTGTGTCCCTCTCACCCCACCTCACCTCCACTAGGACCCCCACAGCAGAGGCCTGTGCCCCTCACCTCCACTAGGACCCCCACAGCAGAGGCCTGTGCCCCTCACCTCCACTAGGACCCCCACAGCAGAGGCCTGTGTCCCCTCACCTCCACTAGGACCCCCACAGCAGAGGCTTGGGCCCCTCACCTCCACTAGGACCCCCACAGCAGAGGCCTGTGACTGAGCACAGACGATATCAGTTTTTCATCTCGTATGGCACCAGTTTGATGTCGTACGATGCACTTTTGATGAACTTCTTGCCAATATTTCAGCTTTTGTAGGACTGCAAGATCTTAAAGGGACTGTGTGTAATATTCACGGTCAGTAAGTAAGTAAGTAATCTTTATTTATATACCGCTTTTCACAGACCAGAGTCACAAAGCGGTTTACAATTGTTATTTTTGGGCATTTGTCCTCTCACTCCACACAAAGATGGGAGCGGGGTCGCCGAACAGGAGGCGCATGCCAGAACTATGGTGCATGTTTTTAGTGGTAGGGAAAACCGGAGTACCCGGAGGAAACCCACGCAGACACGGGGAGAACATGCAAACTCCACTCAACTTGCTGAGAGGCCAAAGTGCTAACCACTCAGCCGCCGCGCCGCCCTGAGTGGTTAGTGGTCAAACATCCGTTACAATCACTTTAGTTGGAAGAATCTTCTGCTGTGACACAAGTCCCTCTAAGCAGTGGTTACTGGTGAAATCCACCTGCTGGATTGTAGCTAGAAAATATACAAATTGTGTGTTTTATTCGTCTGATTTCAAATGTGGTGCTATTTTTGTATTTGTTATACTTTTGTTTAAACTTGAGTTGTAATCAGTCACTTGTATACATCGTGTCAGTGTAATAGAGTAAAAAACCACACAGACTACAATAGTATAATAATAATATAATTTCCCTTTTTTATTCCAACTTTTCATATTCAATGTAAGTGATTTCATGATGACAGAGTGAGTTGGAGGAGAACAGAGCACAGTCACAGTTCCTGAACTAAAACTAGAGTGGGACCAAACCTCCAGCCTGCCCTGGCCCACGTACAGACTCTTGTGTCACAGTAACTTCCTCCCCCGGGTCCCGCACAGGGCAGGCCGCAGTGGTTTAACGCTCACCATCTTTCCACGTCTCTTTCTCAGTCCTCATCAAGTGTGACCCCATAGTTTTAATTACCCAGTGTGCTTTGCTGTCTCATGTTCAGTTGTTTGGGTGCTCGTGGTTCCCCTCCTGTTGACCCTGAGCGTCTTAAGGCTTTAAGTTAATAACTTTAGGTGTCACAGTGCAGTAGTTTAGTTTCTTTAGCGTGATTGCTACCTGGAGTCCCTGTGGTTTGGATGGGTCTATAGATAAAGCAGTCATAGACAGCGTTCTTTAACATTGCATGCATCCGCACAAATTCACAACGTACCAAGCCAACTGACCAATCCGCTGTTTATCATAGCTCTCCTATAAATATCCTTCTACAGAATGTCTGCCAGAGAAGGGGCAGCATCAGGCTTTGTCCAAATCAGAGCCTTTTTAGCGTTGGCCTCAATATGTAGTGGATTACATAAACACAGGCCTGCAGCGAGCGCTCAGTGACAGTCCAAATGAAACTACAGATTTGAGCAAAGCCCTGGTCTGCCCCCTCTCTGGTAAGCAGCGCTGAAGGAGGCAAAGGGGCAGACAGATTTGAAGAGATGATTAACGAAGCATAAAGGAGGACAGTAGGGTTAAAACGACTCTCCAAATGGAGAAATGAGGGGGGGTGTTTATAAGTCGCTCTCTCCATAGAGGGCACTGGAGAAGGAGATGTAGTCCAGGGCTCCGGCGGGACCATCGGCGCCGATGTACCGGGTCATGCGGCTGATGCAGTACTCGGCCTGCTCTGGGGGCAGCTCTCTGCGCAGCTCGTCCACCGTGATGTAGTTCTGAGGACAGACAGAGACCCACACCATTATTACCACAGACTGTAAATATTAGCGACGCCTATTTCCTCCCGTTGAGAATTATGCGTGATCAACATGCACTATTTCAAAATGGCCGCAAGCAGCCCCTCCCGCAGAAAAATATTAAAAAACATATTGGAGCATGCTATAGCCGGCACGAGCCTAACACATGCCATTCATTTAAAGAGTGCACTCAAGTCCATAGCGGCTCAACTAGGCTGGTCCAAAAAATAAATACAACTCCCCTCAGCTTTGACACGCGTTTGGAACATAGCGTTGGGCCAAGAGCCAACTTTTGAAACATCCTGTAAAGCCGTATTTGGCAGGAAAAAAGGCGCCACAAGAATTCATTGGATAATTCTGTTCCCGGGTACACCCCCACAGGCAGTCAGATTACAAGCATGTCAGTGCACGTGCTCATGCACCCTTTTGAGCCAGGACCCGCCCCCACTGAGTATTACACATTCTCAGTCTGGAGAGAAGCTCGAAATATGTCAGAGTGACAAACTATGGAAGAAACTGTGGCAGGGAATGCATAAGTGTGACTGATTTAGAGTCTCGTACTTTGTCTGAGGCCAGGATCTTGAAGGAGGCCATGACTTGCTCTGCTGTGTCGGTCTCGGCGGTCTCGCGGGTCATGAAGTCGATAAAGGCCTGGAAGGTCACCACTCCGGTGTTATTGGGGTCCACGAGGGTCATGATGCGAGCGAACTCCACCTCACCCTGGCAACCACAGAGCAGAGGTTTTAGCACATCCTGAGTCCTGTTTATGCCAAATGTGACATGTACATTTCTCCAGCGTGAGATCAATAAAGTTTATTTTTGATATTCTTTACTCATCTGATTCGTCTAGTCCAGTTTAGTGCCACATTCGCTGCTTTGCTTTTGACATAAAAAGAGTTGAAATGTTATGTAGGCGGGGCTAAAGGTCGGCTGGGGCCAGGCTAGCCTTTTGCATGTTCTCCCCATGTCTGTGAGGTGGGGCTGTGTTGCATCCTGTAGCTCCATCTTAATATTTGTACAGCTCGTGAAAATGCTCATGGTCCTGAGTGTAGTTTGATCTGGGACTTGCCCCCGGTGTGGTTGCGGACTGACCAGATCGTAGCCCATGGAGATGAGGCAGGCGCGGAAGTCGTCTGGGTCCATCATGCCGTTCCTCTTCTGCGGAGCACAAGCACACGATTACCACAGGCGTCACACACACCACAGTTTTGCAAACACTCAGCCCATGCAGAGGCGGACCCTGTCGAAGTGGTTGAAGGAGGCTCTGAACTCGTTGAGCTGCTCCTGGCTGATGCCTTTGGCGTCGCGGGTCAGGATCTGGTTCTCCACCTCGTTGATGGTTCTGGCGATGGTGGTGAGCAGCTGCTCCCAGCCCACGCGGATGTGCTGTGGTCGAACAATCAGAGTTAGAGATGAAGACATCCGTTATTAGTCCCACAGCGGGGAAATGTCAGTGTTGCATCACCAGTTACAGAACAGAAGGAATGAGGAGCACACAGCACAAGATACATGAACAATAACTCTATTCTAAATCAAATAAAATCTCTAACACAAGAAAGAAGCAGTAACAAAATATGAGGCAATAATTGGTGGAATCGAGTGTTTTTTATAATCCTAATCTGACTGTCTTTAAACTAGATGTGCCAATGGGACAAAGCCTTTTAGTGCTGCTGTATTTTCTCATTCCAAGGGAGAAATGTCTTGTGTCTTTTTAAAATAAGATCACTTTGCTTGTCCGATCTTGTTTTAGGGTAGTCAAAATGTGCTCAAATTAATATAAATTTTGCCAAATTTGAGCATTTTTGAATACATTTTTTGTATCACTTTTTATAGTGTGGAATATTAAAGAGGAAATATAAAATATCCAACGTTAGCATAATGAAGGAGCAAGAATTAAGCACAAAAACTCCCACTTGTCCATTTATTGCTATGGCCTAGAGCAGCATTTATGGAAACGTAAAAAAAGTCTTGTCTAAATTAGGGCTGTGTCAAAAATGTTAAGCTTGATAGATTGTGAAACACAGGGATAGACAGATTGTTATTATCAGATTCAGGCTCTGAAAAAGGTACTCAGAAACTAGTCTATTGCAAGATAAAATAAGTAAGTATTTCAGTTTTATCTAGTAGTGAGTGTGTGTGTGTGTGCATCTGTCTGTGTGTGTGTGTGTGTGCGCATCTGTGTGTGTGTGTGCATCTGTCTGTGTATGTGTGTGTGTGCGTGTGGATGGGCACCTCCATGGAGTAGTTGGTGTGCTTGTTGTCGAAGATGAGCGACTCTTGGCTGAGCTGGTGGTCTCCCTCCAGTTTGTCGATGTTGGATTTGTAGTTGATGATGTTCTGTTCGTACTGCTTCAGGCTGTTCATCTGTTCCTCCAGAGAGCCGGAGATGTCCACAGACACGTGGCTGATCTCCTGCACACACACACGCACATGTTTACCAAAAACAGTTATAAAAGCATTTAGCTGTTTGTGTGCATACATGTATGAATTTTAAAATGATTGGTAAAAGTTCTGTATTCAGATAAAGTAATGTGTAGTAAAGCTGATACCTCCATCTTGGTCTGGATCCAGGGTCCAATGATGTTTGCCTGAGCAGCGAACTGGCGCCTCAGCCTCTCGTTGGCCTGCTGTCGGGCCACTTCCTCCTGCAGCATTTGGTCTCTGAGGGGCACCAGGTGCTTCACCTGGAACAAAGTCAGACGTCAATCTGGACCTACTTTAAATTAATGTATTCTGGAATATGAGCGTAAAATGATATTAGAATTGATTTTGCATTTACATCACTACTCAGAAGAAATGTGCATATGTACAACATATTATTTAACCTCAAGTAAGTGCTTCCTGAACATTAGCATATGAGAGATGAAATCACGTACTCGAGTTGCATTCTAAGAACATATGTTTGACACGTGCATTTGTTACTTTCAAGACACTGTAACTTCATTGTTATACTTTCTGACTGCTAAGTGATTTTTTCAAACTGCTGAGCTGCGTTTTATTGAGTGACTGGTTCTGACAGAAGCTCCAGTGTCTTTGCAGCTGGGCCTCAGACGTGTCGTCCTGACGCAGCAGTGACAGCGTGTCAGCGGTGGTTATTTCTCATGAGGCTGCAGCTCACAGACTGAATACACAAAGACACTGTATCCTCTGAAAGCACCAGGTGTGTGTCTCTGTCAGATGCACTGGTCCTGGCAGCAGTGAACTCACAGTGTCCCACTTGTTGCCGATGTCCTGGGGGCTCAGGTTGGTGTAGGGGTTAATGCCCGTCAGCTTGATGTTGTAGGTCTGACTGATCTTCAGGATCTCGTTCTGGATTCCTATTGTGGCCATGCGCTCCTTATCGGCCTCAGGCAGAGTGGCCTTGAACTGGTCGTGGGCTGTGATCAGGCTCTGCACACACCGAAAAAGGGTACATTCAACAATTACCTCCCAAAGAGTCTCTGATCTCTCATTTATGATCCACGGAGCAAGAGATTTAAAGGTGTTTGTGTGTGTGTGTGTGTTTTATCTGAATCTCTATTGTTGTGTATTTGTATCCTATTAATTGTTTCATTTTGTATACGATGTATGTACACACATTTGAAATGAATAATCACTACTAAAAGTGAATTCCTCAGCTGTCCTCTGGCCCACCTTCTACTTGAGCTCAGGAAATAAGCAGTTCTGGAAAAACTGAAAGTTGTTTGTCATTTCTTTCATAATTGACAATCATTTGTTTAAACAAGTCAAGCTAATCAATAAAACTCTTGTAATGATTATTGTATAATTATAAAGTCTCCCGTCACCTGGATCTCCTCGATGCTGTGGACGATGAACATGTCCTGCAGGTCCTCCATGGCTCCGTCCATCCAGTTGTTGAAAGGTGCTGCTCTCTTTGCAAACTCCAGATAAAGCTGATCAATGGTCTCCCACAGTTTCTCCACACGCTGCCGCACACACACCACTCTTTATATACATTTAAAGAAAACATGATTTAAATATAGGGGCGACAGTAGCTCAGTTGGTAGAGCATTGGCCTTCAGGCCTGAAGGTCGTGGGTTCATTTCCCACCTCTACACCTTCTCCACCGACTCCCACTGATGTCTGCTGTCGTTGTGTCCTTGGGCAAGACACTTAACCCCACTTTGCCCAAAGCCCCCACTGAAAGATCAAGGCTATGCTCACACTCAGAGAGCAGCCGTCCTCCTGTGGACTCACCACCTGCAGAGGGTCAGTGAGGGGCTGGTGCTATGAGACTTGGGTGGCATCTCTGACTGCCACCCCCCTGACCCAGAAATGGATTAAAGGGAAGAAAATGGATGGATGATTTAAATAAGTGTCTGATTTTAACTCATGGTTCACAGCTTTGTCAGTAAGTGCCAACATGTAGTGCCTTCTGTTCACTAGGATCACAAAACTATATAACCATGAACTCCATCACTAGAAAATGACCAGTGCTGTGTAATCATGTTGGCGTCCTGTAAACCAGGAGCCTGTGGAACTAAAATTCAAGTAAATACCCAATTATTTTATAAAAAGGTCGCAATTAGGTAAATTAAGTGACCACAAGTTGCCTCACAAGTTACAGACAGTAGGAATGAGGAGCACAGAGCACAAGGTAAATGAATAATAACAACAACAACAAACAAAAAATCTAACTCTAGCTTAAAAACAAGCAGTATAAAATCTCTCTGGTTGTTAAAATGCACTGAAATGCTTTAATTTAGGTAATGATTGGCTTCTACTATGTATGTATGTAACTATGTAATATACTGATACAATTTTGTGCAAATAACAACATACAATAATCAACTTTATGTAAGAGTAGCAAGATTGATATGATGATTTTCAATTCTTACGACTAACTTGCAGAATACAGATATCATAACATGTAATACATCATTTTAAAGCCTGTGTGGAATCTGGCCTTCACAAAATGGACAAACGCAGACATAAAATGGAAGATCGTCCTGCTATATAGTGCATTCCCAGCTCTCATTCTGCCTTGGACTCCTGTGGCAGCTGGTCTATGGCTGGTCTACGGCTGGTCTATGGCTGGTCTACGGCTGGTCTACGGCTGGTCTACGGCTGGTCTACGGCTGGTCAATGACTGGTCTATGACTGGTCTATGACTGGTCTATGACTGGTCTATGGTTGGTCTATGGCTGGTCTACGGCTGGTCTACGGCTGGTCTATGGCTGGTCAATGACTGGTCTATGACTGGTCTATGGTTGGTCTATAGCTGGTCTATGGATGGTCTATAGCTGGTCTATGGCTGGTCTACGGCTGGTCTACGGCTGGTCTATGGCTGGTCAATGACTGGTCTATGATTGGTCTATGGTTGGTCTATAGCTGGTCTATGGATGGTCTATAGCTGGTCTATGGCTGGTCTACGGCTGGTCTACGGCTGGTCTACGGCTGGTCTACGGCTGGTCTACGGCTGGTCTACGGCTGGTCTACAGCTGGTCTACGACTGGTCTACGACTGGTCTATGACTGGGGTCTATAGCTGGTCTATAGCTGGTCTATAGCTGGTCTATGGATGGTCTATAGCTGGTCTATGGATGGTCTATAGCTGGTGATGTTACCTCCAGAGAGTCCCTCCTCTTCTGGGTCAGAGTTCCCAGATTGTCCCACTGGTCACAGATGCCCTGGCAGCGAGCGTTCACTGAGGCAGCATCATGGTAGTCCAGCTCACTGCAGAGACACAACTCTCACTAAAGTGCTCCATCTTTGCTGTAGAGATCAACATTTAAAGCTGGGCTACCTGACTATCAAACCACAAGAAATTGATTAAATTAGATACAAAATAGTTTTCATTTAGTGATAGAGATTTTCAATAAAAACATTTTTGGGCATTTTGATATTTCCAAAAAATCATATAAGTATAAATAGTTGTACTAACATTTTTACTTTAAAAACAATTTACCTTGAATAAATGAAATATGAATGCATCCATTTTGTTCAAATGGGGCAGAGCGTTATATACAGTAAGAGGCCAGCATTTTTCACTGAATTGTGTTGAATCGTATAAAATAGAACATTCTCTGTATCGAGATAAATATTGAATCGGTTCTGAAAGACACCAGCCCGAGAAAGGACCGAATCAAATGGTTTTGAACACAATATTAGATGGATTTTTTATTGACATTGTTCCATTTTTTGCGGCCTCCTGTGGACTCACCACCTGCAGAGGGTCAGTGAGGGGCTGGTGCTATGAGACTTGGGTGGCATCTCTGACTGCCACCCCCCTGACCCAGAAATGGATTAAAGGGTAGAAAATGGATGGATGGATGGATTGTTCCATTTTTTGCGGTTTGAAAGTTAGGTACCCAGCTTTAATGGAAAAAAAAAATCTATTCAAGTCAAGTAAATCAATCAATAAAAAACACCGGTTTTCCAGCGTACAGTAAACTTTTGCTGCTTCTGAAACTTGGGGGTAATGGGAGGTTAAAATGGGAGGGGGTTGTAATCTATATCATGAGCTTTTGAAGTGTGAGTGATGCATTATGGGTGGGTACATTCGTATGCAGCGCTTTGGGTCTAAATGCAGCGCTGTCTTTGATGTGAGCAGTGATGTATGGAGCAGACTGAGGAAACGGCCCCAAACGGCCCCGAACGGCCACGAGGACTGAGTGCAAAAAGAAAGCAGATCACAGGCTCCTGCTGCTGCTGCTGCTGCTGCTGCTGCTGCTACTGCTGCTACTGCTGCTGCTGCTGCTGCTGCTGCTGCTGCTGCTGCTGCTACTGCTCCTGCTGCTGCTGCTGCTACTGCTGCTGCTGCTGCTGCTGCTACTGCTGCTGCTACTGCTGCTGCTGCTGCTGCTGCTGCTGCTGCTGCTGCTGCTGCTGCTACTGCTGCTGCTGCTGCTGCTGCTGCTGCTGCTGCTGCTGCTGCTGCTACTGCTGCTACTGCTGCTGCTGCTGCTGCTGCTGCTGCTGCTGCTGCTGCTGCTGCTGCTGCTACTGCTGCTGCTGCTGCTGCTGCTGCTGCTGCTGCTGCTGCTGCTGCTCCTGCTGCTGCTGCTGCTGCTGCTGCTGCTGCTGCTACTGCTGCTGCTGCTACTGCTGCTGCTGCTGCTCCTGCTGCTGCTGCTGCTGCTGCTGCCCTTTCATCCTCTCCTCATTAATAGGATTTTGACGGAGCTTTTGTTCCTGCTGGGGCCCATGCTGTCTGCTGCTGGCTGACCACAACTCTACCGGACTCTACAGCTTACTGAAACACAGTTAAAGCTGGGGTACCTTACTTTTTCTGTTCATAAATAACACGCGTATTTGTCCTAACAGAAATAATAAAACAGTTTTGCAAAGAAATCAGCCCACAACATAATGTCTTAATTATTGTCATTATTGTAGGAAAGAGCCCTGGAATATAAAAAAAAACTTCCCACAGTTGGGAAATTTGAGTTCAGTTTATGTGGCTTGAAAGTTAGGAGCCCCAGCTTTTATCTCCAGGTCATGAAGTCATATAAAGTAGTTACAGTAAATAAGAATGGCCCACATTTGTAAACTTCATAATATAGAATACAAACGTTCATAAGAGTGTGTGACAGCAGCGGACTGACTTGAGCTCCTGTGCGATGGCGGCGATCTGCTCCACACGGTCCTGGTGCGCGGCGAGGTCGCTCTCAAACGCCTCGTGTTTCCTCATCAGAGCGCGGATCTCCATCAGCGACGCAGACTCAAAGTCCTTCTGAGACAGCAGCTCCTCCTTTCCTGAGAGAGCACACGGTTTAGCAGCTTAGAAACTATCGTACACTGGAGTACACAGGGTACAGTACTGCGAGTGCAGTTACACATTACACATCTACTTACTGTACTCAAATATACTGTATATATACTTATATATACTTGCCAAAGTACTATCTCTTTGAACATGCTACTATTCTATCCAACTAAAATGTTGAAGTATAGTCATTCTCTCAAATGAAGTAAAAGTACACATGGGCATCATGTATGAAAATTGCGCAGAAAAAGGTGTACATTTTGGGTGTAGATCCCAGATACGCAAGATCTGACGTGGCATTTATGAACGTGTGAGATACGCACAGATCTGAGCGTACGCACCTGCGGCTGTTGATAAATGCCGCGCTCAAAACCAGCGTATTTATGAAAGTCACGCCTAGAAATATTCAAAAACTGCCTGTTCCACGCCCTGTTTTTGCGACAGGTCAGCAGGAAGTCGGCTAAGAAGACTGTTTGGAAGCCTCAAAAAACACACACTTCTGAGATTATTCACGTTTAAAAAATATATATACGCTATATTATACAGTGCCTTGCGAAAGTATTCGGCCCCCTTGAACCTTTCAACATCAGCCATATTTCAGGCTTAAAACATAAAGATATAAACATTTAATTTTTTGTCATGAATCAACAACAAGTGGGACACAATCGTGAAGTGGAATGAAATTTGTTGGATAATTTAAACTTTTTTAACAAATAAAAAACTGAAAAGTGGGGCGCGCAATATTATTGGGCCCCTTTACTTTCAGTGCAGCAAACTCAGTCCAGAAGTTCAGTGAGGATCTTTGAATGATCCAATGTTGTCCTAAATGACTGATGATGATAAATAGAATGCACCTGTGTGTAATCAAGTCTCCGTATAAATGCACCTGCTCTTTGATAGTCTCAGGGTTCTGTTTAAAGCACAGAGAGAACCATGAAGACAAAGGAACACACCAGGCAGGTCCGAGATACTGTTGTGGAGAAGTTTAAAGCCGGATTTGGATACAAAAAGATTTCCCAAGCTTTAAACATCTCAAGGAGCACTGTGCAAGCAATTATATTGAAATGGAAGGAGTATCAGACCACTGCAAATCTACCAAGACCCGGCCGTCCCTCCAAACTTTCATCTCAAACAAGGAGAAGACTGATCAGAGATGCAGCCAAGAGGCCCATGATCACTCTGGATGAACTGCAGATAACTACAGCTGAGGTGGTAGAGTCTGTCCATAGGACAACAATCAGTCGTGCACTGCACAAATCTGGCCTTTATGGAAGAGTGGCAAGAAGAAAGCCATTTCTCAAAGATATCCATAAAAAGTCTCGTTTAAAGTTTGCCACAAGCCACCTGGGAGACACACCAAACATATCTGCAGATTGATCATGGGCCTCTTGGCTGCATCTCTGATCAGTCTTCTCCTTGTTTGAGATGAAAGTTTGGAGGGACGGCCGGGTCTTGGTAGATTTGCAGTGGTCTGATACTCCTTCCATTTCAATATAATTGCTTGCACAGTGCTCCTTGAGATGTTTAAAGCTTGGGAAATCTTTTTGTATCCAAATCCGGCTTTAAACTTCTCCACAACAGTATCTCGGACCTGCCTGGTGTGTTCCTTTGTCTTCATGGTTCTCTCTGTGCTTTAAACAGAACCCTGAGACTATCAAAGAGCAGGTGCATTTATATGGAGACTTGATTACACACAGGTGCATTCTATTTATCATCATCAGTCATTTAGGACAACATTGGATCATTCAAAGATCCTCACTGAACTTCTGGACTGAGTTTGCTGCACTGAAAGTAAAGGGGCCCAATAATATTGCACGCCCCACTTTTCAGTTTTTTATTTGTAAAAAAAGTTTAAATTATCCAATACATTTCGTTCCACTTCACGATTGTGTCCCACTTGTTGTTGATTCATGACAAAAAATGAAAATGTTATATCTATATGTTTGAAGACTGAAATGTGGCAAAATGTTGAAAGGTTCAAGGGGGCCGAATACTTTCGCAAGGCACTGTATATACACTTTATTCCCTAGTGCCTAGACCCACTGCAGCACTCATCTCTCCTGAAATTTTGACGTAAATAAATAAATAATAAATGAGCTGAATGAATGAATGAACTATACTGCTGGTGCGCGTCGCATCCTGTCTCTGCTGCGGAGTAAAGGGCAGTGCCTGAGACAGTTTTTAGCAAGATCAGGTGCATTTATGGGGCTTTATGCACAAAACTAAGGAAAACCCACATTGCTTTGCCAGAGGTGAATGAGGCAAAACATATGCGTGATTTCGTGTACTGCGCAGGGTCTACCACAGGTTGTTCATGCATGTGTAAAAATAAATATACGCAACATACGCTACGCTGTTTATTCAGCTGCGTTTTAAACAAATTTGCAGAAATGTTTTGATAGAAGTGAATAAATAAAGAATTAATGAATTAATTAATTCATATTGTGCAGCATGGCTCTCATCAATGAAGCGTCTGCAGCGTCTTGTGAATGCACTGAAGCGCTGTACACTTGCGAGAGCGTTTGCGGTCCAGATTTTACAGATAAACTCTGGAGCCAAAACTTCTGAATGACAGCATTTGAGGAGTTATGTGGCGCGTCTCTCACGGCACCTGCTGTGGACGCACTCCCAAGAGTGTGCAGCGGGTGGACAGGGCAGTGAGACATTTGGAGTGAGCAATACCATAGTCCATCGGCCCATGCGTTAATGGGATGTGTGTCTCTGTGAGGCTTACACACATCTAATGAAAACATACATTGCTTTACCAGATGTGAGGAATACAAATAGCCGTGCGTAATTACGCAGCGCAGAGCCTGTCACAGCAATAGCTGGGTCACACATCCCTGTCGCGTAAAGTGTATTTGTATAGAGCCTTTCACTGTCCAGGATCACAAAGCACTTCACATTTAAAAAACATACAGATCAAAATAACACACACAGAAGTCAGATTTAAAATCATTGAAACAGAAGAGGCTCCTCATCATGATCTGTGATTTATTCGAAGTTTGCGTGTTTCCAGAGAGTTAGACTTTTTCTGATGAGCAAATTCAAATTCCGAAACATGATGCTCCATGAAAACACAGCTTATAATTTTGCCAGAGGGAACATGTTTATTGTTGTCCAAATCTTGAATTTCATGCGTGTTTTGGCGTGTTGTGACGAAGGGTGAAATGAGCCACACATTTACACCACCTCCTGACTCGGTGTAAATTCTGTGAGTACCGTACACTCATGTCCAGATTGATAAATGCGGAAAAAGTGTAATTTTTTTGCGTACGCATCATTTACACCCTGATTTGGCCGTACGCAAGTTTCATACATGAGGCCCTATGAATGTACACAGTACCTACTAACAGAGTACACAGCTGTAATTTTACTGGTCCAAGACTCTCCAAACTGACCTGAGGTCCAGGACTCGTGCATGGAGCACTTCTGCTTGAACTTCTCGGCCAAATGGTCGAGTCTCTCCAGGCGGCGGATCTCCGTCAGCAGCCACTCCTCGTAGCCCTTCTCCACCTGCTCCAGGCCTTTCCAGGCGTTAGCGATGTCCTGCACACACAGCACTCTTTATCTGAGTTTAAACATTTATGTAAATACAGCCGTTATATTGTGCAGTGATGATGATGATCCTTCAGAGCGCTACATACAGCACAGACGTATGTGGCGCTCTGAAGGCGCGTTCAGACCAAAAGCTTCAAAAAGCTTTTGACGCGCTTCAACTGACGCCGCGTTATTTTTGTCATTTTGGTGCTTGAAGCTTTTGACGCTCCTGACGCCGGTGGGAGGAGCTTCTCTGTTGTCTGTAGTCAGGACAGCGGTGGATTTTCCAGAGAGCAGCGAGCCTTTATTTGTTATATAAAGCCAAATAAAGTTGTCGTGGGGTTTCTACAAAACATGTTCTGGGTTTACCACAGACTTGAGAGGCTTCAGTGTTTGCAGAGTTCCGTCATTTACTCCAGAAGCTGCGAACGGAGGAGTTTTGCTTTCAGCGGTACTTCCGCATGTCACTCACCCAGTCTGAGTTCTCAAACCCCGGAGCTCGCCTCTCCCCGCCTCGCTCTCACCTCTCCCCGCCTCGCTCTCGCCTCTCCCCGCCTCGCTCTCGCCTCTCCCCGCCTCGCTCTCGCCTCTCCCCGCCTCGCTCTCGCCTCTCCCCGCCTCGCTCTCGCCTCTCCCCGCCTCGCTCTCGCCTCTCCCCGCCTCGCTCTCGCCTCTCCCCGCCTCGCTCTCGCCTCTCCCCGCCTCGCTCTCGCCTCTCCCGCCTCGCTCTCTCCTCCCTCCCCCGCCTCGCTCTCGCCTCTCCCCGCCTCGCTCTCGCCTCTCCCCGCCTCGCTCTCGCCTCTCCCCGCCTCGCTCTCGCCTCTCCCCGCCTCGCTCTCGCCTCTCCCCGCCTCGCTCTCGCCTCTCCCCGCTCGCCTCGCCTCTCCCCGCTCTCTCGCCTCTCCCCGCCTCGCTCTGCCTCTCCCGCCTCTCCCGCCTCGCTCTCGCCTCTCCCCGCCTCGCTCTCGCCTCTCCCCGCCTCGCTCTCGCCTCTCCCCGCCTCGCCTCTCCCGCCTCGCTCTCGCCTCTCCCCGCCTCGCTCTCGCCTCGCTCCCTCTCGCTCTCCCGCCTCGCTCTCGCCTCTCCCCGCTCTCTCGCCTCTCCCCGCCTCGCTCTCTCGCCTCGCTCTCGCCTCTCCCGCCTCGCTCTCGCCTCTCTCGCCTCTCCCCGCCTCGCTCTCGCCTCTCCCCGCCTCGCTCTCGCCTCTCCCCGCCTCGCTCTCGCCTCTCCCCGCCTCGCTCTCGCCTCTCCCCGCCTCGCTCTCGCCTCTCCCGCCTCGCTCTCGCCTCTCCCGCCTCGCTCTCGCCTCTCCCCGCCTCGCTCTCGCCTCTCCCCGCCTCGCTCTCGCCTCTCCTCACCTCTCGCTCGCCTCTCGCCGCCTCGCTCTCGCCTCTCCCCGCCTCGCTCTCACCTCTCCCCGCCTCGCTCTCGCCTCTCCCCGCCTCGCTCTCGCCTCTCCCCGCCTCGCTCTCGCCTCTCCCCGCCTCGCTCTCGCCTCTCCCCGCCTCGCTCTCGCCTCTCCCCGCCTCGCTCTCGCCTCTCCCCGCCTCGCTCTCGCCTCTCCTCACCTCTCGCTCGCCTCTCCTCACCTCTCGCTCGCCTCTCGCTCGCCTCTCCTCGCCTCTCGCTCGCCTCTCCTCACCTCTCGCTCGCCTCTCCTCGCCTCTCGCTCGCCTCTCCTCACCTCTCGCTCGCCTCTACCCACCTCTCGCCTCTCCTCACCTCTCGCTCGCCTCTCCTCACCTCTCGCTCGCCTCTCCTCACGCTCGCCTCTCCTCGCCTCTCGCTCGCCTCTACCCACCTCTCGCCTCTCCTCACCTCTCGCTCGCCTCTCCTCACCTCTCGCTCGCCTCTCCTCACCTCTCGCTCGCCTCTCCTCACCTCTCGCCTCTCCTCACCTCTCGCCTCTCCTCACCTCTCGCTCCCCTCTCCTCGCCTCTCGCTCGCCTCTCGCCTCTCCTCACCTCTCGCTCGCCTCTCCTCGCCTCTCGCTCGCCTCTCGCTCGCCTCTACCCACCTCTCGCTCGCCTCTCCTCACCTCTCGCTCGCCTCTCGCTCGCCTCTCCTCACCTCTCGCTCGCCTCTCCTCACCTCTCGCTCGCCTCTCCTCACCTCACCTCTCCTCACCTCACCTCTCGCTCCCCTCTCCTCGCCTCTCGCTCGCCTCTCGCTCGCCTCTCCCCGCCTCTCGCCTCTCCTCACCTCTCGCTCACCTCTCCTCGCCTCTCGCTCGCCTCTCGCTCGCCTCTCCCCGCCTCTCGCTCGCCTCTACCCACCTCTCGCCTCTCCTCACCTCTCGCTCGCCTCTCCTCACCTCTCGCTTGCCTCTCCTCACCTCTCGCTCGCCTCTCCTCACCTCTCGCTCGCCTCTCCTCACCTCTCGCTCGCCTCTCCTCGCCTCTCGCTCGCCTCTCCCCGCCTCTCGCTCGCCTCTACCCACCTCTCGCCTCTCCTCACCTCTCGCTCGCCTCTCCTCACCTCTCGCTTGCCTCTCCTCACCTCTCGCTCGCCTCTCCTCACCTCTCGCTCGCCTCTCCTCACCTCTCGCTCGCCTCTCCTCACTTCTCGCTCGCCTCTCCTCACCTCTCGCTCTCGCCTCTCCTCACCTCTCGCTCGCCTCTCCTCGCCTCTCGCTCGCCTCTCCTCACCTCACGCTCCGCCTCTCCTCACCTCACCTCTCGCTCGCCTCTCCTCGCCTCTCGCTCGCCTCTCCCCGCCTCTCGCTCGCCTCTACCCACCTCTCGCTCGCCTCTCCTCACCTCTCGCTCGCCTCTCCTCACCTCTCGCTCGCCTCTCCTCACCTCTCGCCTCTCCTCACCTCTCGCTCCCCTCTCCTCACCTCTCGCTCGCCTCTCCTCACCTCTCGCTCGCCTCTCCTCACCTCTCGCTCGCCTCTCCTCACCTCTCGCTCGCCTCTCCTCACTTCTCGCTCGCCTCTCCTCACCTCTCGCTCTCGCCTCTCCTCACCTCTCGCTCGCCTCTCGCTCGCCTCTCCTCACCTCTCGCTCGCCTCTCCTCACGCTCGCCTCTCCTCACCTCACCTCTCGCTCGCCTCTCCTCGCCTCTCCTCGCCTCTCGCTCGCCTCTCCCCGCCTCTCGCTCGCCTCTACCCACCTCTCGCTCGCCTCTCCTCGCCTCTCGCTCGCCTCTCCTCACCTCTCGCTCGCCTCTCCTCACGCTCGCCTCGCCTCTCCTCACCTCTCGCTCGCCTCTCCTCGCCTCTCGCTCGCCTCTCGCTCGCCTCTCCCCGCCTCTCGCTCGCCTCTACCCACCTCTCGCTCGCCTCTCCTCACCTCTCGCTCGCCTCTCGCTCGCCTCTCCCCGCCTCTCGCTCGCCTCTCCTCACGTCTCGCTCGCCTCTCCTCACCTCTCGCTCGCCTCTCCTCACCTCTCGCTCGCCTCTCCTCACCTCACCTCTCCTCACCTCACCTCTCGCTCCCCTCTCCTCACCTCTCGCTCGTCTCTCCCCGCCTCTCGCCTCTCCTCACCTCTCGCTCGCCTCTCCTCGCCTCTCGCTCGCCTCTCGCTCGCCTCTCCCCGCCTCTCGCTCGCCTCTACCCACCTCTCGCCTCTCCTCACCTCTCGCTCGCCTCTCCTCACCTCTCGCTTGCCTCTCCTCACCTCTCGCTCGCCTCTCCTCACCTCTCGCTTGCCTCTCCTCACCTCTCGCTCGCCTCTCCTCACCTCTCGCTTGCCTCTCCTCACCTCTCGCTTGCCTCTCCTCACCTCTCGCTCGCCTCTCCTCACCTCTCGCTCGCCTCTCCTCACCTCTCGCTCGCCTCTCCTCACCTCTCGCTCGCCTCTCCTCACCTCTCGCTCGCCTCTCCTCGCCTCTCGCTCGCCTCTCCCGCCTCTCGCTCGCCTCTACCCACCTCTCGCCTCTCCTCACCTCTCGCTCGCCTCTCCTCACCTCTCGCTTGCCTCTCCTCACCTCTCGCTCGCCTCTCCTCACCTCTCGCTTGCCTCTCCTCACCTCTCGCTCGCCTCTCCTCACCTCTCGCTCGCCTCTCCTCACTTCTCGCTCGCCTCTCCTCACCTCTCGCTCTCGCCTCTCCTCACCTCTCGCTCGCCTCTCCTCACCTCTCGCTCGCCTCTCCTCACGCTCGCCTCTCCTCACCTCACCTCTCGCTCGCCTCTCCTCACCTCACCTCTCGCCTCTCCTCGCCTCTCGCTCGCCTCTCCTCACCTCTCGCTCGCCTCTCCTCACGCTCGCCTCTCCTCACCTCACCTCTCTCGCTCGCCTCTCCTCGCCTCTCCTCGCCTCTCGCTCGCCTCTCCCCGCCTCTCGCTCGCCTCTACCCACCTCTCGCCTCTCCTCACCTCTCGCTCGCCTCTCCTCACCTCTCGCTTGCCTCTCCTCACCTCTCGCTCGCCTCTCCTCACCTCTCGCTCGCCTCTCCTCACCTCTCGCTCGCCTCTCCTCGCCTCTCGCTCGCCTCTCCCCGCCTCTCGCTCGCCTCTACCCACCTCTCGCCTCTCCTCACCTCTCGCCTCTCCTCACCTCTCGCTCGCCTCTCCTCACCTCTCGCTCGCCTCTCCTCACCTCTCGCTCGCCTCTCCTCACCTCTCGCTTGCCTCTCCTCACCTCTCGCTCTCGCCTCTCCTCACCTCTCGCTCGCCTCTCCTCACTTCTCGCTCGCCTCTCCTCACTTCTCGCTCGCCTCTCCTCACCTCTCGCTCTCGCCTCTCCTCACCTCTCGCTCGCCTCTCCTCGCCTCTCGCTCGCCTCTCCTCACCTCTCGCTCGCCTCTCCTCACGCTCGCCTCTCCTCACCTCACCTCTCGCTCGCCTCTCCTCACCTCACCTCTCGCTTGCCTCTCCTCACCTCTCGCTCGCCTCTCCTCACCTCACCTCTCGCTCGCCTCTCCTCACCTCACCTCTCGCTCGCCTCTCCTCGCCTCTCGCTCGCCTCTCCTCACGCTCGCCTCTCCTCACCTCACCTCTCGCTCGCCTCTCGCTCGCCTCTCCTCTTGCTCTCCTCTCGGCCGCCTGGAGCAGCCTCGCTCTCGCTCTGAGCCAGACTCATCGTCAGCTTGTTCTTATATTAAATAAATTACGTTTACTTCACAGCATGTGTACAATGTTTTTGTTACTCTCTTATTAAGAACGTTACTATCACACAAATAATATTACTAATAACAATAATGACAATAAAACACCAGCAGCTACATGACTTCTCTCCATGACAGCGACAGACCCACAGCTGCTGCTGCTGCTCGTCTCCTGATTGGTTGAAGCCCGCGTCAAAGCTTCAAAAGCTCAGCTTTGCTCAGCTTCGGCGTCAGAGGGATTGTTTTGATACGCGAGCGTTTCGCGTGTCAAAAGCTTCAAGTGAGTGCTTATTACTCGCAACTTTTGAAGCTTTTGACGCGCGCCAAGTGACGCCGGGGCTCTTGGCTTCACCTGACGCGCTTCACCATTCACTTTCAATGAAAACCTGACGCTTTTGAAGTCAAAGTTAAGTCCGGTCTGAACGCGCCTTGAGGCTAAGCGCCCGCGTGTTGCAGAGCGCCATCTGGTGGTTGGACGTTAGTTACAGGTGTGCTCTCATCAGAGGCACTCGTCTCGAGGTTCAAGGGTTTTTTGGTCTAATCGTTGAAAGGAAGAGACTTGTTTCCATCATCACACATGGATGTTAGAGCTGCTCACCGACACCATCTTGCCCTCGGAGGGCATGAACGCCGGCCGGTTGCTCAGCCGCAGCTTGGTCTGCAGAGTGTTGAAGTTGATCTCCAGCTGACATTTCTCCTGGACACGTGGCGGTTTGTGGATGCGGCGATAGTCACGGAAGTCCTCCAGCTTCTGCTGCATGGACCTCATGGTCTGCTCAGCCACACGGTTCTCCAGCCACGGGATGGTGCGGCGGATCCATTCCAGCAGCTGCAGACGCAGGGGTCATAGGTCAACGTTAGGGGCGTGGAAGGGACAGATCATTTGATATAATATTTGAGATATTGATTTGTGATTGATGTGTGATACTCGGCCAATATAACCATCATTTCAATAGCAGTGAATACATATTTTTTTATCATGAATTACACTGCAGAAGGATGCAGTTGTAACGCACAAAAGCTCAGAACAAGACTGGAGAAGATTGATGTGTTTAAAACAGTAGAGGAAACCTCCAGAGCTCTGCCTTAAGCAATAAACATGGACACAAATATCATTAAATGGGAAATGTGTCATGTTTGAAGGCTACAAAAATTCATCTTGCATAATGTGATTCACACAATAGGGCGGAGTAGGGCTGTGTGACTGTGAACAAGGCTGTTGCCACTGAACACAGAGTGTCCCGCTGATGTCACAGGCTGTTGTGTAATGTCTTTGGTCCAATTGTGAAGTGTCTGTGTGTGATTGTGTGTCTCACCTCGCTGGCCAGCTTCTCGTACTCCTCCATCAGTTTCTCATTCTCCTGGTTCACCGCCAGCACTTTGCAGATACGGTTGGCAGCAGTTTCAGCCTGAGATAGGAACAGACATCTCCAGTCATCGTCAAAAACACAGCAGATGTAACAGTGCGATCGTGTGCGTCACCTGCTCTGCTCCAGCGAAGGCGTGGTAGAAGCAGGACACGTAGGTCATGATGGCCTTCTCGTCGGGTTTGGGTGTGTTCACAATATCTGAGAACAAACAAGTGTTTATAATGTGCTTAAAGAAGAAACATAACACACTATTTTTAGACAATCAAAATATATTGAGACTTTTTACTTTGTCATCTCAGGTTTCAGAATGTCAAACAATAAGTAAAAAAGTTAATTAAATTTTTTACTGAAAAAAAAAAACACCTTTTTTTACTATATTGATAGTGTTTACCTTCAGCATCAAGCATTTTTGGGATGTCCAGGAACTTCTCAGCCACTTCAAAAGCAGTGTTCAGGTTTCCAATGGGATCGTCCTGTCGTCACATCACACACAGATTACCCAGGATTCAAGCTGTCCAAGTTTTACAGCCACTAAAATTAGCATCAAAACTGGATCCTCAGAAAGTATCACAAGAAATAACATGAACTCGACAAAATGTGAGATTCTCTGAGCTGCTTTTAACTGGTTTTGGTCTCAGAATCAATATAAAATGTATCTCAGACTTTGCGTTTTGCATGCTTAAATTAAAGTAACATAGATGAGAGATACCAAACAGTGTCAGAATTTATGTTAAAAATACAACTCATTGTCCAAATAAATATTGTAGAGGGCCTGGTTAGTATGTGATGGGAGACCTCTGGGAACAACAGGAACCACAGTTTTTCACCACTGTGTATGGAGGGAATGAATGATGATAGTAGATAGTAGTGTCTATAAAAAGCGCTTATCAAATATTTCCAAATAACTTTTTGCAGTGGTATATATATAATGTAAATGTAGCTCGGGAACAAACAATGTAGAAGTACAATTAGAAGTATAGAATAGACTGTGGAAGACAAAAGATGAGGAAAGTTGTAATGTAAACGGAAAAGGACAGGACCTTTCTCAGTTTGGAGTAGTCGATCAGGTCGGGTCTGTGTCTGTGGATCAGGGCACACAGAGCCAAGCCGTCCTTCCAACTGAGCACAAGAGGAGAGGAGAGAAACAGCGTGAGAAGTGGAAAGTAGAAAGAAAAGGGGTTGAAAAGCATGACTGGAGGATGCAGTTCCCAAGTGTGGGCACAGGGAGGCGATGTGGACACACCTGATGTGGAAGTTCTGAACGTTGACGTTCCTGTAGGGGGCAGTCTTCCTCTGGCACCACAGCAGCAGACCCTCCTTCGCAGAGGTCTCTGAAAGAACCAGAGCGTTTTAATATGTCTATATATATATAATATATATATAGACATATGCATTAATATGTCTATAATACTCTGAACGTATATATAAACATGTATACTCTGAACGTATATATAAACATGTATACTCTGAACGTATATATAAACATGTATACTCTGAACGTATATATAAACATGTATACTCTGAACGTATATAAGCTCATTGAAGACAGTTGAAAAGATCATGTGGTAATAATGTGAATGGAGATTTCCACAAAACAAAACTGGAGGCAATACTTTTGGTTTAAAAGTCAGAAAACAGCTCTGGACATGAGTTCACAGTAAAGGCTCGTTATCATTTGAAAAAGCAGCATTTGAAAGTGTGGACGTGTCGATCGGAGCTGTACGTTTGTGTCTGTTTTTACAGAGGAAACCATTTTCAAACAGGATTAAAAGCAACTTGTCACGTTGGAAAAATGAAACCCAAATTTCAGGACGGATTATAAAATGTAATTTAATAGAATCCAAATCCACAGTAACAAAAAGCTGAAAAAAAGACAGTAACAAACGTGGTCGAGACAATATGTTCAGCAGAGACTCTGTCTCTGCTGAACATCTCAAACATGCAAGCCCAAAGCTGTGTATGTTACTGGCACTCTGTTTCAGTGCCTTTATGATCCATGGCTATCTTCCAGATTTAATGATGTCTGTGACACTGACTCCTGTAATTAAAGATAAAGCAGGAAAAGTGGGCTCCTCTGATAACTATAGACCTATAGCTTTAGCTAATATTTTATCCAAAGTTGTGGAACTAATTCTCCTAGAGAGGATAAATGAACTGATTACTTCTACAGATAATCAGTTCGGTTTTAAACCAATACATTCTACGGATCTGTGTATTTATGTCCTAAAGGAACTTTTAAACAACTATAGGAGCAAAAACTCAACTGTTTTTATGTGTTTCTTAGATGCGTCTAAGGCATTTGACCGAGTGAATCATTGGAAACTATTCAAGAAATTGGTTGCAGCAGGTGTCCCTCAATACATTGTCAGAATCCTGTCATATTGGTATGCCCAACAGACCATGCAAGTGAAATGGGACAGCTGCTTGTCTGCTCCCTTTCATGTGAGTAATGGAGTAAGACAAGGGAGCATCTTATCCCCAATTTTATTTAATTTTTATATGAATGAATTATCTCATAGTCTTAACTCATGTAAAACTGGCTGCATGGTCGGCAGTACAATGCTGAACCATCTAATGTACGCAGATGATTGTGTCATTTTTAGTCCGAGCTCAGCTGGTCTGCAGCAACTTCTTAGTATATGTTCAGTGTTTGGGGAAAATCATGATGTAAAGTACAATGATTCCAAAAGTGCCATTATGATCTGCAGAACCACAGAGGACAGACATTTAATCTTTCCAGCTTTTCGACTTGCTGGAAAGGTTCTTAATATCTGTAGTGAAATTAAATATCTTGGCCATCTGATCACAGATCGGCTCACAGATGATGAGGACATTATTCGGCAGTATCGTTTGTTGTATGTAAGGGCGAATGCTTTGGTGCGTAAATTTGGTTGCTGCACTGTTGAAGTGAAGTTGACCTTATTTAAAGCTTACTGCTCTCCTTTATACTCTGCACATCTGTGGTTGAACTACAAAAAAGCTACTCTTCAGAAGCTGCAGGTAGCTTTCAATGACACTCTGAGGATGCTGTTAAAGAAGCCCAGATCGACTCGAGCGAGTGAGTTGTTCGTGAGCAACAGAGTGAACACACTGAAGTCTGTCCTGAGAAATGCAATGTTTAGTTTTATTCGCCGATTGAACGAGTCTGTGAACCTGGTTGTTGTTGTTTTGGTGAATGCCAAGTTCAGTACAACACGCTATATTTCTCAGTTCTGGGAACACTGGTACAAGTGTCTTTGTAAATGAGTCCTTAGACTTTGCTATTTTATTTTTTATGTTTCTGTGTCTTGTGGTGTCCTTGTGTTGTCTCTTGTATGGACCCTGAGTCCGGAATAAAGATTATATATATATATAATATACAGACGACAAGTGGGAAAAACAAATATTTAGACAAAGGGAGACGCAGGATCAGGGTGGGGCAGAAAACAACTGGACAGACACATATCCAAATAAAACCAGGTAATGTCCCACTGTGGGACGAATGAAGGATCTCTGAAAGTAATCAAAAAGTCTTTTTGACCGTCTTTAAACAAGATTTGCCAGAGGGACAAAGTCATTTAGTCTTTTTTCAAGAGCTGTTGCTTTATTTTCTCATTTTCTCTATTTTCTCAAGAGACATCTCTTTAATATTTTTACAACAAGATGATTTTGCTTTGTCCCATTTGGCAAAACTTGTTGTCTAGTAGTCAAAATGTGCTCAAATTAAGCTTTTTGACTGATTTTTCCTCACTTTCTGTAGCATACCATGACACAACCATTACATACAATATTTCTCATTCTGAAAAATAGTTCTTAAAAATGTATGTGTATCATATAACACTGTTTTTAGATGGTGATTGACGACTGTAGAGCAACAGGCCTGTGCTGCTGCGGTGCTGATGGGTGCACTGGAGTCGGAGTCTATAACAGAGAGAGATATTGCAGTGGAAGCCAATAACAGCAGCATAGAGCGGGGTTAGGGAGGGGGCACGGCTAAATGACAGCACCAAACCAGGGCCGCGGCTTCATAAACAACTTCAATATTTCATTAATGCAGCGCGGTGACCTTCGCCTGGACAGTCACAGAGAGAAAACGGCCCGAAAGGATCATTTACCGCGGCTCAAGGGAAGTCTTCAGTTGAGTCGATGTCGGATTTATACAGAGACAAATCAGCAGGAGTGAAACTGTCGCAGAGGTCCTCCACGTGAGTTATGGCCAAGGTGAGGTCCTCCACGTGAGCTATGGCCAAGGTGAGGTCCTCCACGTGAGTTATGGCCAAGGTGAGGTCCTCCACGTGAGCTATGGCCAAGGTGAGGTCCTCCACGTGAGTTATGGCCAAGGTGAGGTCCTACACGTGAGCTATGGCCAAGGTGAGGTCCTCCACGTGAGTTATGGCCAAGGTGAGGTCCTCCACATGAGCTATGGCCAAGGTGAGGTCCTCCACATGAGCTATGGCCAAGGTGAGGTCCTCCACGTGAGCTATGGCCAAGGTGAGGTCCTCCACGTGAGTTATGGCCAAGGTGAGGTCCTCCACGTGAGTTATGGCCAAGGTGAGGTCCTCCACGTGAGTTATGGCCAAGGTGAGGTCCTCCACGTGAGCTATGGCCAAGGTGAGGTCCTCCACGTGAGTTATGGCCAAGGTGAGGTCCTCCACGTGAGTTATGGCCAAGGTGAGGTCCTACACGTAAGTTATGGCCAAGGTGAGGTCCTCCACATGAGCTATGGCCAAGGTGAGGTCCTCCACATGAGCTATGGCCAAGGTAAGGTCCTCCACGTGAGTTATGGCCAAGGTGAGGTCCTCCACATGAGCTATGGCCAAGGTGAGGTCCTCCACATGAGCTATGGCCAAGGTGAGGTCCTCCACATGAGTTATGGCCAAGGTGAGGTCCTCCACATGAGTTATGGCCAAGGTGAGGTCCTCCACGTGAGCTATGGCCAAGGTGAGGTCCTCCACGTGAGTTATGGCCAAGGTGAGGTCCTACACGTGAGCTATGGCCAAGGTGAGGTCCTCCACGTGAGCTATGGCCAAGGTGAGGTCCTACACGTGAGTTATGGCCAAGGTGAGGTCCTCCACATGAGCTATGGCCAAGGTGAGGTCCTCCACATGAGCTATGGCCAAGGTGAGGTCCTCCACGTGAGTTATGGCCAAGGTGAGGTCCTCCACATGAGCTATGGCCAAGGTGAGGTCCTCCACGTGACTTATGGCCAAGGTGAGGTCCTCCACGTGAGCTATGGCCAAGGTGAGGTCCTACACGTGAGTTATGGCCAAGGTGAGGTCCTCCACATGAGCTATGGCCAAGGTGAGGTCCTCCACATGAGCTATGGCCAAGGTGAGGTCCTCCACATGAGCTATGGCCAAGGTGAGGTCCTCCACGTGAGTTATGGCCAAGGTGAGGTCCTCCACGTGAGCTATGGCCAAGGTGAGGTCCTCCACGTGAGCTATGGCCAAGGTGAGGTCCTACACGTGAGCTATGGCCAAGGTGAGGTCCTCCACGTGAGTTATGGCCAAGGTGAGGTCCTCCACGTGAGTTATGGCCAAGGTGAGGTCCTACACGTGAGCTATGGCCAAGGTGAGGTCCTCCACATGAGCTATGGCCAAGGTGAGGTCCTCCACGTGAGCTATGGCCAAGGTGAGGTCCTCCACATGAGCTATGGCCAAGGTGAGGTCCTCCACGTGAGTTATGGCCAAGGTGAGGTCCTCCACATGAGCTTTGGCCAAGGTGAGGTCCTCCACATGAGCTTTGGCGAAGGTGAGGTCCTCCACGTGAGCTATGAGGCCCAGAGATGGAAATGTCGCCCAGGAGGTCCACAACATGATGAAGTTTTATTAGTATATACACTAGATGGAGCTGGTTGCCAGGTTTGCATCGATCCAGGGAAATTAAGATGTTTTATGAATAAAAAGAATGAAAGTTACAGCTTGATTAATTTTTTTTTAGCATAATATTCGATTGTTGATTGTGGAAATATGATGCAATATTTCAGGTTATAAATATGATAATGAGACTTTATTTACTTTGTCATTTCATGTTTTAATATATGGAATAACAGCTTGATGAATAGAATATAAAACACTATATGGTGAAACAAGTATAAGGATATAAAAAAAAACATTACAGAAAGGTAAATTCGAATATTACCAGCTGCAAACACAGCCATGCAATGGTATTAAAAGGCTGATATGTGTAAACTTGCTGAACAAATACTTAAAGCTGCACTAACTGACTTTATGTCTGTATTCATTAGTTAAATCCAATCCATATCCGTGCAGTGCATTGGGACATATGTCCTTTTGAAGAATATGTAGCACTGGTTTGTACTGGTGTGACATTATATTTTAGATCGAGTTCATGAAACAAGGAAGAGAATGTGTTTCGGGACCACTGGCCCCCACTTTCTTGAGAAAAGATACAGGTAGCACAGACAGCTGAGGTACTCCGCACTTCCTGGTTCTATCATTCCATGGTCACGCCATCCACGTTCAGATGTGCGATCCATAGTGTGAGACAGTAGTGCAGCTTTAAAATACTAAAGCTTCTCTGACTGTAAACTCTTGTGGTAGATTAGACTGTAGACATATTTAATCTGTATGGATCTATATGGTGCATTCAGACTATAGACACATATATAATCTGTATGGATCTATACGGTGCATTCAGACTATAGACACATATTTAATCTGTATGGATCTATACGGTGCATTCAGACTATAGACACATATTTAATCTGTATGGATCTATACGGTGCATTCAGACTATAGACACATATATAATCTGTATGGATCTATACGGTGCATTCAGACTATAGACACATATATAATCTGTATGGATCTATACGGTGCATTCAGACTATAGACACGCTGTTAGCTCGTGGGGGCCGTAAAGAAATAAATCCTAATCTGCCTCTCGTTCAAGACTGAGATAATATTACCGGTGGCCATACCTGCATGAGAAAGCAAGATCCAGTCAGACCTTTGAAGCTAAGCAGGATAGGGCCTGGTTAGTACTGTGATGGGAAACCTCTGGGGCCACCAGGTTCCACAGTGGGGCAGCTGTAAACTGTCCTGTTGTGTCCTTAGGCAAGACACTTCACCTTTATTGCCTAGAATGAGTCTGGTGTGTGTGTCAGTGGTTGGTGGTGGTGGGAGGGGTTGATGGCACAGACTGGTTGCCTCGCTTCTGTCAGTGTGCCCCAGGGCAGCTGTGGCTACATTAGTTTATCACCACCGTGTTTGGAGTGAATAGAAAAGTCTTTGAGTGTCAAAAAAAGCGCGCTATACAAAACCATTATTATTGTTTTATTTTTGTATTATTATTATTATTAAAGGCAACAAACTATTTTATATGGTAAAATATGGTTTATGATTTGGTTTATATGGTAAATTATAGTTTTTGATTTGGTTTATATGGTAAAATATAGTTTATGAAATTGTTTCGCAGGGGAGCACCCAGGACCCCCGTCAATGGTGGAGACTAACCTTCAACAGAGATGTCCTGGATGGCGAAACGCAAGATGATGGTCCAGATCATACCGAGGGTCATCTTCCCGTTGCCATCAACAATTTCTGAAGAAAAAGGAAAAAAACACTTGTTGAAACACACTTAATTTCCATAAGAAAGTCATTAAGCATTGGTTAAAGTTGTGGGTGAGATTCTTCACTGGAGAACAGGGAATGGAGAGAGAACTCCTGTCGCTATAATTAACACAGATGTTGAGATAAAGTCGTTCATCAAACATTGTTTTACTTAAAGCTGGGGTACCTAACTTTCCTAAATAATCCATGTTGTTTGTCTCAACAGAAAGAGTGTTGTAAAAGTAAAATATTGTGAATAAACCTTTTGTGATCTTTTGCAAATGGACTTAGATTGGTTCACAAGTTTACTTTTCTGTGAGTCTGATCCAGAAGATGTTCAATTCTACTCAACATCAAAATGTTATAATCAATAATCAATTAGAATCTTCATCTTGTCTGTAACACACTGAATACTGATGCAATCCACCTGCTGGGGTTTAGATAGACTCGGTTACGTATGACTACTTATTTGTTTGTCTGAATTCATTTTTGTTTGCTCTCTGAGTGGAAAATGTAAACAAACATATTATGGACATCAAGGCCACAAGAAAAATCTATTTTAAACTTTAGTTCCGAAAAGGTCAAGAGTGATGTGTCCATGTGACCTGGGCACATATAAAAGACATGTGTCCCTTTAACATGTGACAGCCCTAAACCATGTGTTATAATATTGTATCTTGCCTCACAATATATAACATACACTGCAAAAAATGATTAACTATGAGGTAATAATTGTTTGAATCTAGCAGTTTTTTATCTCAATTTCAGTTCATTCTGAATGTCTTAAAACAAGATTTGCCAATGGGACAAAAGTCTTATTTCAAGAACTATTGCTTTATTTTCTCATTTCAAGGGAGACATTTCTTGAATCTTTTTGAAAAGTTAATGTTAATTGTAAATGTTAATTATATGTATATTTTGTACATTGTGACATTTGACCGTCGCTACGTTGGTAACTTTTTGAAACTGTATTTTAATATATATATTTACTGATTGTCAGGACTACAGATGGAATGTAGCATGGAGCTAAATCTGGTGCCGCCATTTTTTTTATGTAACTGCACATTGTCCTTATTAAATAAAATAACCTTAAAGAAGCAGTGTGTAAACATGTGGCCAAAAGTGGTACTGCAGCCTCTCCCACTCTCCCTGACTCAGGTTGCCAGATATGCAGACGAATCCAGCTGGGACCATAACAGCTGAATAGACAAGAGTTTTGTCAACAACAAATCTATAACCAACACCTTTTTCACAAAGATAGAAATCCTGCTTTTATTCCTTGTTTTGTCGTTAATGATTTGAGAATCATAACGAGGCCTTTTTAGTTTTGCGCCACATGGTACTTTACCAGTGAGATTAGCTCCACGCGGTGAGTTCTGGCGCCCGGATCACAGACTTTCTGATTGGTGAAACGGTGGAGGGCGGGACATCGAAATGAAAACAATAACAAGATTTAGAGGCTGGAAAAGTAATTTAGAAATTCAAATATCTCTGAACGACTGTTATCAGTTAAAGAAGGATTGGAAAAGAGCAGTTTATTATTATGACAGATTAGGGCCCTTTAATGAGGACAGATTAGGGCCCTTTAATGATGACAGACTAGGGCCCTTTAATGATGACAGATTAGGGCCTTTCATGATGACAGATTAGGGCCCTTTAATGATGACAGATTAGGGTCCTTTAATGATGACAGATTAGGATCCTTTAATGATGACAGATTAGGGCCCTTTAATGATGACAGATTAGGACCCTTTAATGATGACAGATTAGGGCCCTTTAATGATGACAGATTAGGACCCTTTAATGATGACAGATTAGGGCCCTTTAATGATGACAGATTAGGGCCCTTTAATGATGACAGATTAGGGTCCTTTAATGATGACAGATTAGGGCCCTTTAATGATGACAGATTAGGGCCCTTTAATGATGACAGATTAGGGCCCTTTAATGATGACAGATTAGGGTCCTTTAATGATGACAGATAGGGGCCCTTTAATGATGACAGATTAGGGCCCTTTAATGATGACAGATTAGGGTCCTTTAATGATGACAGATTAGGATCCTTTAATGATGACAGATTAGGGCCCTTTAATGATGACAGATTAGGACCCTTTAATGATGACAGATTAGGGCCCTTTAATGATGACAGATTAGGGCATTTCATGATGACAGTTTAGGGCCCTTTAATGATGACAGATTAGGGCCCTTTAATGATGACAGATTAGGGTCCTTTAATGATGACAGATAGGGGCCCTTTAATAATGACAGATTAGGGCCCTTTAATTATGACAGATTAGGGCCCTTTAATGATGACAGATTAGGGCCCTTTAATGATGACAGATTAGGGCCTTTCATGATGACAGATTAGGGCCCTTTAATGATGACAGATTAGGGCCCTTTAATGATGACAGATTAGGATCCTTTAATGATGACAGATTAGGATCCTTTAATGATGACAGATTAGGGCCCTTTAATGATGACAGATTAGGACCCTTTAATGATGACAGATTAGGGCCCTTTAATGATGACAGATTAGGGCCTTTCATGATGACAGTTTAGGGCCCTTTAATGATGACAGATTAGGGCCCTTTAATGATGACAGATTAGGGTCCTTTAATGATGACAGATAGGGGCCCTTTAATGATGACAGATTAGGGCCCTTTAATTATGACAGATTAGGGCCCTTTAATGATGACAGATTAGGGCCTTTCATGATGACAGATTAGGGCCCTTTAATGATGACAGATTAGGGCCCTTTAATGATGACAGATTATGGTCCTTTAATGATGACAGATAGGGGCCCTTTAATGATGACAGATTAGGGCCCTTTAATTATGACAGATTAGGGCCCTTTAATGATGGCAGATTACGGCCCTTTAATGATGACAGATTAGGGCCCTTTCATGATGACAGATTAGGGCCTTTCATGATGACAGATTAGGGCCCTTTAATGATGACAGATTTGGGCCCTTTAATGATGACAGATTAGGGCCCTTTAATTATGATAGATTAGGGCCCTTTAATTATGACAGATTAGGGCCCTTTAATTATGACAGATTAGGATCCTTTAATGATGACAGATTAGGATCCTTTAATGATGACAGATTATGGCCCTTTAATGATGACAGATTAGGGCCTTTCATGATGACAGATTAGGGCCCTTTAATGATGACAGATTAGGGCCCTTTAATGATGACAGATAAGGCCTTTCATGATCACTTGACATGAAAATTTTACATATTGCTACTCTTAAACTCGCAAGCCCCCGCCGGCGGGGGTAAACAAGAAAAAAAAAAACATCCGCTGGCTATTGCATATATATTTTGAACTTCATAAGCCACAAGCTATATATCATTTTAAAGCTTATTTTCTCAGCTATATTTATATGTAAGTGTAAACGATATCAGACTTTGCATTAAAAAGATATAGCGCATAATATGGGCACAAAATAAATTGTGGGGTTAGGGTTAGGGTTAGGGCTTTCCCCATCCTTGCTTAGTCTCTTTCTCTCCGTAAGTCTTCATTGAAAAAGAATATCCACTTGTATTTCCCAAAGTATAATCCATTCTTCACAAATAATCCAAAAATGTGCATTTTTCTGTTGCAAAAAAAAAAACGCTCTGAAAGATGCCCCACAAACATCATATCCACGTGTTCCTTGAGTCCTTAGCTTCAAAAAGAGAGGTTCCATGAAAAGATAGGAGCAGGTTTCAGTCCGCAGGACCCTTGTGAAAAAGACAAACCGCATCCACCTGCACAGGGTCCGTTTTTGCCTTGTTGTTGATTACACGGCTAGCGCTATGTGCTAGCACTGAATGATTGACGTGTCTAAGTAGCCAATAAAAAGAGCTTTCAATTGATGGGTGGGACTTATAGGAACCCTTTTCATTTTCACAGTAAATGCGTGAGTAAAGACGCTGTTAGTACTACTGTGCATATTTCATATGCATTTACACTACAAAAAAATTATTTTGAAATAATGTAAAAGAAAATCACACAGATTTGTAACTTATAAGTACCAAAACTAAAAAATATGCTTTTTATGATGGTGAAATGTTAATAAATCAGTTTGGCACAATTTCGCACAAATTTTGCGAAATTGGTTCCGAATGGCTCTACTTGATAAAAAAGAGAAACTGCATAAAAACTATAAAACTTAGAAGTCTGAAACTTTACACAGTTGTTGTCAACAACACAATGAACAAATTAGTGTTGAAAATGTTCTTCTTCCAATGAAGTAGGCTTTTGTAGGGCATTTATACGTTGAATTTTTTAGGCGAGGCTTAAAAAAACAGGTTTTTTCCCCAAACTTTAAAGGATGCAGAGTGAAATAGGAATGATATACATTATTTCAGTGTATATTTACATAAACTAGAAGGGCCTAACTTTAAAATGATGCATCACACAAGCATGTGAGATGTAAGATGTGTTTTTAAATAAGCAAAGACATTTGGGTATGCCAAACTTTTGTGCACGAGCCAAAGCAGATGTAGGAGTTTAAGAGGTTTTCAACCTCAACAACAACAAAAAGCCACAAAAGATCAAAGTGATTGTTGTGTGGATGTAACACTTCCTCTCATTCCTCACACTGAGAACATATTTGTGTTTTGTGAGCTTTGCGAATACTCCCACGGACGTCACATGACCGTTTTCAAATCGAGTATGAAGCAACAGCGAGGCCAGAGACATGCTTCGCTGAAACGACTTTTTCTCACGGCTCGGTTTGAAGTTGGTGCTAATTATCTGGCACAGATAAGGAGAAGAGAAGATACGAGAAGGAGAAGTCCAAAGGAGAAGAGAAGATACGAGAAGGAGAAGTCCAAAGGAGAAGAGAAGATACGAGAAGGAGAAGTCCAAAGGAGAAGAGAAGATACGAGAAGGAGAAGTCCAAAGGAGAAGAGAGATACGAGAAGGAGAAGTCCAAAGGAGAAGAGAAGATACGAGAAGGAGAAGTCCAAAGGAGAAGAGAAGATACGAGAAGGAGAAGTCCAAAGGAGAAGAGAAGATACGAGAAGGAGAAGTCCAAAGGAGAAGAGAAGATACGAGAAGGAGAAGTCCAAAGGAGAAGAGAGATACGAGAAGGAGAAGTCCAAAGGAGAAGAGAAGATACGAGAAGGAGAAGTCCAAAGGAGAAGAGAAGATACGAGAAGGAGAAGTCCAAAGGAGAAGAGAAGATATGAGAAGGAGAAGTCCAAAGGAGAAGAGAAGATACGAGAAGGAGAAGTCCAAAGGAGAAGAGAAGATATGAGAAGGAGAAGTCCAAAGGAGAAGAGAGATACGAGAAGGAGAAGTCCAAAGGAGAAGAGAAGATACGAGAAGGAGAAGTCCAAAGGAGAAGAGAGATACGAGAAGGAGAAGTCCAAAGGAGAAGAGAAGATACGAGAAGGAGAAGTCCAAAGGAGAAGAGAAGATACGAGAAGGAGAAGTCCAAAGGAGAAGAGAAGATACGAGAAGGAGAAGTCCAAAGGAGAAGAGAAGATACGAGAAGGAGAAGTCCAAAGGAGAAGAGAAGATATGAGAAGGAGAAGTCCAAAGGAGAAGAGAAGATACGAGAAGGAGAAGTCCAAAGGAGAAGAGAAGATACGAGAAGGAGAAGTCCAAAGGAGAAGAGAGATACGAGAAGGAGAAGTCCAAAGGAGAAGAGAAGATATGAGAAGGAGAAGTCCAAAGGAGAAGAGAAGATACGAGAAGGAGAAGTCCAAAGGAGAAGAGAGATACGGGCTTCTGAGGAGCGAGGATGGGACCGATCCACCACGAAGCCCCACGAAGCCCAGCGGAGTCCAACTGATGAACCAAACTCACAAAACCATTCTCAAAGTGAATTAATCAGTGCAGTTGGAGAAAGGCAGAAAACACATTTGGAAATGGAGGAATTGAATTAGCTGTTGTACTTTTGTAGCTGTAAGCGCCAAAGAAGCACTTTCTATACAGCGACCTGGCTTAACACAAACCGGTCCTTACATTGTTCTGCCATTTTTTTATTGTGTTTTTGTATTTTAGTTGTTCTCTGTCTCTCGTTCAGCTTCAGGTTCTGCATTTATTAAAAAATACAACTTAGCGGCTAAAGCTAACGGGTTAACATCCTGCTTTACTCTGTTATAAATTATTATTCTTACATTTCATGCATTTGCCAGAACAATACTGAAATGTACTGTACTGGACCTCACAAGTACTGGACCTCACATGTACTGGACCTCACATGTACCAGACCTCACATGTACCGGACCTCACATGCACCGGACCTCACATGTACCAGACCTCACAAGTACTGGACCTCACATGTACCGGACCTCACAAGTACAAGACCTCACATTTACCGGACCTCACATGTACCGGACCTCACATGTACCGGACCTCACAAGTACTGGACCTCACATGTACCGGACCTCACATGTATCGGACCTCACAAGTACTGGACCTCACATGTACCGGACCTCACATGTACCGGACCTCACATGTACCGGACCTCACAAGTACAGGACCTTACAAGTACCGGACCTCATATGTACCGGGCCTCACAAGTACCGGACCTCATATGTACCAGACCTCACATGCACCGGACCTCACCGGACCTCACATGTACCGGACCTCACATGCACCGGACCTCACATGTACCGGACCTCACAAGTACAGGACCTTACAAGTACCGGACCTCACATGCACCGGACCTCACCGGACCTCACATGTACCGGACCTCACATGCACCGGACCTCACATGCACCGGACCTCATAGGACCTCACCTTCAGCACCGATGGACACCAGTTTTACTCCTTTGCTGCAGATGAAGTCCAGAGCTTTGTTGACGTTGGCGATCTTGTGGAAACGCATCTTGCCTTTGTCGGGTTTGGGCAGCCTCTCACCTGCGACAAAGGTACTCAATGAACACTTCTCACATTTACATAAGGACAACAGTCTCAATGAACAGTCTCAATGAACACTTCTCACATTTACATAAGGACAACAGTCTCAATGAACACTTCACACATTCACATAAGGACAACAGTCTCAATGAACACTTCTCACATTTACATAAGGACAACAGTCTCAATGAACACTTCACACATTCACATAAGGACAACAGTCTCAATGAACACTTCTCACATTTACATAAGGACAACAGTCTCAATGAACACTTCACACATTCACATAAGGACAACAGTCTCAATGAACACTTCTCACATTTACATAAGGACAACAGTCTCAATGAACACTTCATACATTCACATAAGGACAACAGTCTCAATGAACAGTCTCAATGAACACTTCACACATTCACATAAGGACAACAGTCTCAATGAACACTTCTCACATTTACATAAGGACAACATTCTCAATGAACACTTCACACATTCACATAAGGACAACAGTCTCAATGAACACTTCACACATTCACATAAGGACAACAGTCTCAATGAACAGTCTCAATGAACACTTCTCACATTTACATAAGGACAACAGTCTCAATGAACACTTCACACATTCACATAAGGACAACAGTCTCAATGAACACTTCTCACATTCACATAAGGACAACAGTCTCAATGAACACTTCACACATTCACATAAGGACAACAGTCTCAATGAACACTTCTCACATTTACATAAGGACAACAGTCTCAATGAACACTTCTCACATTCACATAAGGACAACAGTCTCAATGAACACTTCACACATTCACATAAGGACAACAGTCTCAATGAACAGTCTCAATGAACACTTCACACATTCCCATAAGGACAACAGTCTCAATGAACACTTCTCACATTCACATAAGGACAACAGTCTCAATGAACACTTCACACATTCACATAAGGACAACAGTCTCAATGAACAGTCTCAATGAACACTTCACACATTCCCATAAGGACAACAGTCTCAATGAACACTTCTCACATTCACATAAGGACAACAGTCTCAATGAACACTTCACACATTCACATAAGGACAACAGTCTCAATGAACAGTCTCAATGAACACTTCACACATTCCCATAAGGACAACAGTCTCAATGAACACTTCACACATTCACATAAGGACAACAGTCTCAATGAACACTTCTCACATTTACATAAGGACAACATTCTCAATGAACACTTCACACATTCACATAAGGACAACTGTCTCAATGAACAGTCTCAATGAACACTTCTCACATTTACATAAGGACAACATTCTCAATGAACACTTCTCACATTTACATAAGGACAACTGTCTCAATGAACAGTCTCAATGAACACTTCTCACATTTACATAAGGACAACAGTCTCAATGAACACTTCTCACATTTACATAAGGACAACATTCTCAATGAACACTTCACACATTCACATAAGGACAACTGTCTCAATGAACAGTCTCAATGAACACTTCTCACATTTACATAAGGACAACATTCTCAATGAACACTTCTCACATTCACATAAGGACAAGAGTCTCAATGAACACTTCACACATTCACATAAGGACAACAGTCTCACTGAACACTTCACACATTCACATAAGGACAACAGTCTCAATGAACAGTCTCAATGAACAGTCTCAATGAACACTTCTCACATTTACATAAGGACAACATTCTCAATGAACACTTCTCACATTCACATAAGGACAAGAGTCTCAATGAACACTTCACACATTCACATAAGGACAACAGTCTCACTGAACACTTCACACATTCACATAAGGACAACAGTCTCAATGAACAGTCTCAATGAACACTTCTCACATTTACATAAGGACAACATTCTCAATGAACACTTCACACATTCACATAAGGACAACAGCCTCAATGAACACTTCTCACATTCACATAAGGACAACATTCTCAATGAACACTTCTCACATTCACATAAGGACAACAGTCTCAATGAACACTTCACACATTCACATAAGGACAACAGTCTCAATGAACACTTCTCACATTCACATAAGGACAACAGTCTCAATGAACAGTCTCAATGAACACTTCTCACATTTACATAAGGACAACATTCTCAATGAACACTTCACCCATTCACATAAGGACAACAGTCTCAATGAACACTTCTCACATTCACATAAGGACAACAGTCTCAATGAACACTTCACACATTCCCATAAGGACAACAGTCTCAATGAACAGTCTCAATGAACACTTCTCACATTCACATAAGGACAACAGTCTCAATGAACACTTCACACATTCACATCAGGACAACAGTCTCAATGAACAGTCTCAATGAACACTTCTCACATTCACATAAGGACAACAGTCTCAATGAACACTTCTCACATTCACATAAGGACAACAGTCTCAATGAACACTTCACACATTCACATAAGGACAACAGTCTCAATGAACACTTCACACATTCACATCAGGAGTTCAAGGTACCTTATTTACAACTATGGCTGCATTAATCCAACCATTCATTTCTTTGGTCACAGCAAATCACAAAGAAAACAAATATTTCAGATTTTTGCAATGTCAAGGAAACAAGTATGTTTTGTGACGTTGTCGGCAGCTTACTGTAATTCAAGCATGTTTTTCAAGTTAATTTATAAAACGGGTTCTACTATAGGTTATATAAATATTTTTGAGACGTGTGGGGAGTGTGTGTGATTTTAAAATGATGCTTTTTGAACAAACATGAACATAGAAATATTGCAACGAGATAGTTTGCCAAAAGTATGCAGTCCTATGTAAAACCAGACAGCATCAAAAATCTATGAAAACATGTTTTCAGTTGGTTCACAGAAGAACTTGACATTAATGAGATAAGAAATAAAAATTACAAACAAAATACACAACTTTATATTTAGTGAAGACACTTTTGGATAACCATCAGTGTCCTATTGTCAACTTTTTGTTCTACACAGTTGTGCATTTGAGGCTTTGGAAAAATCTTCTTTTTTCCTTCCACATACCTCCGCTCACTGCTCTGTGATCATTCATAAATATCACAGTCAATAATACAATAAAAATAAGATTTACTGCAGGAGAACAGTTAAACCACGAGGGACCGTAAGGATTTGAATACATTTAGTCCAATCAGGAGGCTGCGAGGGTGAGAATGGGCGGGGCTAACCAGTGCTCGTCTCCAAAAAGTTTCCCTGTAGCTGAACAGTAACTCACATTCCCTTTAAAGCTGGGGTACCTAACTTTTAATTCACAATGTTCCTCGTTCTCACAATAGTTTGCTTCTGTCACAAGTACACTTTTAGCACATCTTTAAAAATAATAGGTACCCCAGCTTTAAGCCATAAGCATTTCTATTATTATCATTATTATTGTTTGTATGTGTCGTACCTGAGATGACCTCCAGCAGCAGCATGAGTTTGAGGCCATTTCTGAAATCCTCCTCAATGTTCTCGATCTGTGTCCCGGCTTTCCTCAAGTGGGAGTTACACCACGCCGTGAAGGTCTGGGACGAACACACAATTGTCACAAAACGGATCATACAACAGCAGCTCGAGCACAAAGAGAATCAACGTCTGTACATTACATAAGATCAACTTTATATACTCGGCTACTCCCTGAATATCTTGTTTATTGTTTATTGGGGATCTCCGTTAGCGTCCACCAATGTGGCTGCTAATCTTCCTGGGGCCTGAGTTAAAACAAAGGCATATAACAATGGAATGGCACGTTGCTGGTTTTGGAGAAGGGATGGAAATATTGAGAAAATAAAGCTAGAGTGCCACAAATATTGCTTGGTTCTGAAAAATCGTCACAGTTACAGTATTTACAGTATGTATTTATAGTCCTGCACCATATGGCCTCGGTCCTCGTTCTACAGCCTCAGTCCTGGATCGATAACCCGTCCGTTCTCCCACTGGATATTTTTATTAGAGTTTTTCTTTGCCGACGCAGGAGGGTCAAAGGACAGTGGTGATGATCCAGGGCACATTTATCAACATTTATGGACATTGGTCATGGCTTCTTGGCTTCTTATGGACCAATGGCTCTATGTGTTTCCTCATTGCATTTCCTGTGTTTGAACGGTTGGATTCTCTGATCTGTGTCGGCCAATTCAACGGTTTTGTAAAGTCATCTGCGATAACTGCGATTTAGGGCATTACAAGAATACATTGAATTGTTGGTCTCTGTCACGTCTTTAGACCAGCTCAGCCAATCAGCTTTCAGTAAAAGACGAAATAAAGACATCATGTTGTGGTCTCAAGCCTAGCGTACATCGACAGAGAAACTGGAGACAACTAGTTGCAAGGCGGCTTTTGGCGACTGAGAGGAGATGGTGGGAGATGATCAGTTGCTGAAATCGGTCGATGTGCGCGCTCTTACAACTGGAGATGATCAGTCGGTCTCCAGTTTCAGTCAGTTGCCCGTGTTCTACTTTTCGGCAACTAGTTGTCCTCAGTTTTGGAGATATGACCCGATGTGCGCGCTCCGACAACGTGTGTGTATTACGTGTATTGCGAGCCCGCAACAGTTTATGTCAGAAAACACACTGTAGTTGAGGCCAGTTGCTGTCGATGTACGCGCTGTTATTCCCGAGACTGGTCTGCTACTGGGAGTTGCCCGTTTTCGTCAGATTGTCGATGTGTGCGGGGCAGCAACTCATATGCGACGGATATAATCAGTTGCCAGTCCGATGTACGCTAGGCTTTATGTGTTCACAGTGTGTAACTTAAACTGACTCTTTCTGAGGACAAACAACATGTATTAATGACCTGAAAAAGGTACTCCAGCTTTAGATACAAAATTAAAAATGACTCCAGTAGAAAATAAACCAATTGTACCAGACTTGTACGTAGGGCTGCAATTAACGATTATTTTAATAATCGATTAATCTGTTGATTATTTCTCTGATTAATCGATTAATCGGATTAAAAAAAAATATATATATATTTTCCATCCCTTTGTTCACAAACATGGCCATGGACCTAAACAAAAAAACATGCAAATGTAACCTATGCAAATATTGGCTTTTTGAAAAGTAAAGTGCACAAAAAAAGGTATCTCTCTCTCTCTATATATATATATATATTCAGGGATAAGAATATAAGAATTTTCAGACAATCGGCAGAATTCCGACTTTTTCTCGCTGAAAATGTACCTCTGTGACTTTTTGTTCAAAAGTACATTGTTACTAGTACATTTTCAACGATTTCTACACAGGCGGGCGCGAGGGCGGCTATGTGCGCTGCGAGGTCCTTTGGAGACTTTACGGAGCTGTCAGATAACTTCAGTGGTGTCTACTTCATGGATCTAAATCCCAAGTGATTCAGATAGGAGGAAAGAGACTAAGCATTGCTACACCTAGCGAGATGAGAGCCCATAGTGTGTGTGTGTGTGTGTGTGTGGGTGAGTGTGTGTGTGTGTGTGTGTGTGAGTGTGTGTGTTAGTGTGTGAGCTCTATAAGTGGAGGAGCAGACGTGTGTGTGTGTGTGAGTGTGTGAGTGTGTGTGTGAGTGTGTGAGTGTGGGTGTGAGTGTGTGAGTGTGTGTGTTAGTGTGTGAGCTCTATAAGTGGAGGAGCAGACGTGTGTGTGTGTGTGTGAGTGTGTGAGTGTGTGTGTGTGTGTGTGAGCTCTATAAGTGGAGGAGCAGACGTGTGTGTGTGTGTGTGAGTGTGTGTGTGTGTGTGTGAGTGTGAGTGTGTGAGTGTGTGTGTTAGTGTGTGAGCTCTATAAGTGGAGGAGCAGACGTGTGTGTGTGTGTGTGAGCGAGAAGGAGCAGACAAGTGTGTGCTCTGCTAATGCCACAGTGAATTAGAATTAATCAGAAGTCACCATCTTCGTACAAGAACGTGCCCAACTCTTGTGAGCTCCGCGACGTAGTGGTGACGTATTAATCGCGCGGGACAACAAATCGATAATGAAATTTGTTGCCAACACTTTCAGTCATCGATTTTTATCGATTTTATCGATTTGTTATTGTAGCCCTACTTGTACGACACACTTTCGCCAATATTGACTATAGCTCTTCTTATTTATGATGAAAAATACAAAAACGATATCATCTGTTGTCAACACCCACCGCCATTAAACTAAATCCATTATACATGGAGCCCTGACCTTCTATGGAATGTAAAACTGTCTTATGTAGTTGAAATAGGTTTAGTAAGGTTAGTTTTATTCATGGACTTTGCTCCTGCTGATACAAACTTATTCAGAATTGGGTTTTATTCCACAAAAAGGAAAGGCTTTGTCGCAGAATGTAATAAAACCCAGACGAGCATTTGCAGTTTATTTCTAACCCAGCGATATGAAACCATTACCTGCACTTCTGGCCGTTCTCTGCAGAGAGGGCACAAAGCTGCACCAAACAAACTTATAATAAACTACCTGAGGCTCCGGACAAAACTTAGAGCAAAGAACTCTGTAACAGACGGAACCGCTGCTGTTCCAAAACTCAACGTTCTTACTTCAAAACATGGGGCAGATTTTTGAAGGTAGAATATTCAACAACGATGCCCACAACTTCATACAGAATGTATCTGTTTGTATCTGTTCAGTTCAGGTTTATTTTTAGTTTTCAGCAAATACTACATTTATGAAAACTATGAAAAGAGAAAAGTTCATATCGGTTTTAAAATTCTATATCTTCGTCTTCAACATTTAACACACAACATGCAAAAAAGCAGTCAAGAAAAAGCAATTAGAACTCTCGCTTCACGTGAGAAGGACAACTTCATACGACACAGTTGGACAGACCATAAAAGGTATTCACACAAATAGGGGACGACTGATTTGGATGTTTTGGGAGACAATACCGTCTATTTCATTTATGTTTTGGTATTTTTTGTATTACACATATTCATAGAAACATACTTGTTAGATCAGCCACGAACACTATACAAACTGTCTCCCTGCTGCAGGCTTTGGGCTAAAACTATTTTCTATATTACTGTATAAACTGGGTTAACATCCAACCCTGGGTTACTGTAAAGATGTGATAAATCTAACAGACTAACTATGGAAACTAAAATATTTAATGGAATTTATGAATTGGTATTTTATTCTAGATTATGATGTAGAACATCGGTGTATCATTTTGCCACAGTGATAAATCTCTATTAATCTTTCTAATGATGATGAACACTTCCATACAGAGTTGAATATTAGCTTCAACTCTTGTACCTACTAAATAAATACATCAATTAGACTTTTCTATTCCCAAGTTATCAGACAATAATCTTAATAATCGATTGGCTCTGATCACTAATTTCTTGTCCCACAGTGAGAGATCAAACACGACTCCAGAGAAAGTCTCGCTGCACTGGTGTCGTCGGTGATACGTGTGGAAAAGTCAAAGGGAAATCCAGATTGTGTGGATGTGACGGTGAAGCAGCAGATTCTCTCTCGTTACAGACGATTGTGTGAAGTTTGCCGCAGCGGCGGTGGCGGCGGTGGCGTGGGCGGCGAGGCAGAGCGGAATAACTAAACCTCGTGTGAAGGAGTGAGCGACTGAGAGAAAGAACAAGAGCAAAACCAGCCAAAGAACAAGAACGACTGTGTTTGCAAAACAGCCACCTGCAAATGACAGCGTCCAGTGTTACAGCCTGTGTCTCAGGCAGAAACTGTATTTACTGTACTGTAGGTAAGTAAATAACATGTATTTACTGTACTGTAGGTAAGTAAATAACATGTATTTACTGTACTGTAGGCAAGTAAATAACATGTATTTACTGTACTGTAGGTAAGTAAATAACATGTATTTACTGTACTGTAGGTAAGTAAATAACATGTATTTACTGTACTGTAGGTAAGTAAATAACATGTATTTACTGTACTGTAGGCAAGTAAATAACATGTATTTACTGTACTGTAGGTAAGTAAAACATGTATTTACTGTACTGTAGGTAAGTAAATAACATGTATTTACTGTACTGTAGGTAAGTAAATAACATGTATTTACTGTACTGTAGGTAAGTAAATAACATGTATTTACTGTACTGTAGGTAAGTAAATAACATGTATTTACTGTACTGTAGGTAAGTAAATAACATGTATTTACTGTACTGTAGGTAAGTAAATAACATGTATTTACTGTACTGTAGGTAAGTAAATAACATGTATTTACTGTACTGTAGGTAAAGTAAATAACATGTATTTACTGTACTGTAGGTAAGTAAATAACATGTATTTACTGTACTGTAGGTAAGTAAATAACATGTATTTACTGTACTGTAGGTAAGTAAATAACATGTATTTACTGTACTGTAGTAGTAAGTAAATAACATGTATTATACTTAGTACTGTACTGTAGTAAGTAAAATAACATGTATTTACTGTACTGTAGGTAAGTAAATAACATGTATTTACTGTACTGTAGGTAAGTAAATAACATGTATTTACTGTACTGTAGGTAAGTAAATAACATGTATTTACTGTACTGTAGGCAAGTAAATAACATGTATTTACTGTACTGTAGGCAAGTAAATAACATGTATTTACTGTACTGTAGGTAAGTAAATAACATGTATTTACTGTACTGTAGGTAAGTAAATAACATGTATTTACTGTACTGTAGGCAAGTAAATAACATGTATTTACTGTACTGTAGGTAAGTAAATAACATGTATTTACTGTACTGTAGGTAAGTAAATAACATGTATTTACTGTACTGCTGAGGCCTTTCAATAAGTTCAGTTCACAGACAACCTCTGACTATACTTTAATAAAAACAATGTATTGATATGATGACGTAGTATCACATGCTAACATGTACAGTAGCATCACATGATGCTAACATGTACAGTAGCATCACATGATGCTAACATGTACAGTAGCATCACATGATGCTAACATGTACAGTAGCATCACATGATGCTAACATGTACAGTAGCATCACATGATGCTAACATGTACAGTAGTATCACAATTATATATATGTTTATACTTTACTTCAACGTTTATTAGGCCAAAGATGTTGTGCTAAACTTGATATATCTTATCTTGTGTGCTCCTCATTCCTGTTCTGTAACCTGTGATGCAACACTGAAATCTCCCCACGGTGAGAAAGGATCTATTCATCTTTTTTATTTTCTTGGTGGAGCTGAAGTTGGCGGAATGATGATTGTTCTCTGACTCCTGACAAATGTGAGGATTGTAACATAATGGGTGATTTCTGAGACTTTGGAGAATGAAAGTGACACTATTCCATAAATCCTTTTACGTACGTTATTCGTCAATATTTGCTCAAATGTTAAAAAAACAAAATGTAGATCAAAGAAAGATAAAACATTTTAAGAGATGAATGTGCGAGGTCTGAGCAGGTCTGAGCAGGTCTGAGCAGGTCTGAGCAGGTCTGAGCAGGTCTGAGCAGGTCTGAGCAGGTCTGAGCAGGTCTGAGCAGGTCTGAGCAGGTCTGAGCAGGTCTGAGCAGGTCTGAGCAGGTCTGTGCAAGTCTGAGCAGGTCTGAGCAGGTCTGAGCAGGTCTGTGCAAGTCTGAGCAGGTCTGAGCGGTCTGAGCAGGTCTGAGCAGGTCTGTGCAGGTCTGAGCAGGTCTGAGCAGGTCTGAGCAGGTCTGAGCAGGTCTGAGCAGGTCTGAGCAGGTCTGAGCAGGTCTGAGCAGGTCTGAGCAGGTCTGAGCAGGTCTGAGCAGGTCTGAGCAGGTCTGTGCAAGTCTGAGCAGGTCTGAGCAGGTCTGAGCAGGTCTGAGCAGGTCTGTGCAGGTCTGAGCAGGTCTGAGCAGGTCTGAGCAGGTCTGAGCAGGTCTGAGCAGGTCTGTGCAGGTCTGAGCAGGTCTGTGCAGGTCTGAGCAGGTCCAGGTCTGAGCAGGTCTGTGCAGGTCTGTGCAGGTCTGAGCAGGTCCAGGTCTGAGCAGGTCTGTGCAGGTCTGAGCAGGTCTGTGCAGGTCTGAGCAGGTCTGTGCAGGTCTGAGCAGGTCTGAGCAGGTCTGAGCAGGTCTGAGCAGGTCTGAGCAGGTCTGAGCAGGTCTGAGCAGGTCTGAGCAGGTCTGAGCAGGTCTGTGCAAGTCTGAGCAGGTCTGAGCAGGTCTGAGCAGGTCTGAGCAGGTCTGTGCAGGTCTGAGCAGCAGGTCTGAGCAGGTCTGAGCAGGTCTGAGCAGGTCTGAGCAGGTCTGTGCAGGTCTGAGCAGGTCTGTGCAGGTCTGAGCAGGTCTGAGCAGGTCTGAGCAGGTCTGAGCAGGTCTGAGCAGGTCTGAGCAGGTCTGAGCAGGTCTGAGCAGGTCTGAGCAGGTGTCACGGCCCAGTTTAGACCAGTCCTAATACTGTACAAGAGTATAAGTACCTACAGGCATGAAAGGAGTGGGATGACGGGAGGAGGCGCAAAGGGGGGGCGGGGGGGGGGGGGGTTTGGGTTAGCTATGGGACACCAGGACGGCTATGGGACACCAGGACAGCTATGGGACACCAGGACAGCTATGGGACACCAGGACAGCTATGGGACACCAGGACAGCTATGGGACACCAGGACAGCTATGGGACACCAGGAGAGCTATGGGACACCAGGACAGCTATGGGACACCAGGAGAGCTATGGGACACCAGGACAGCTATGGGACACCAGGAGAGCTATGGGACACCAGGACAGCTATGGGACACCAGGACAGCTATGGGACACCAGGACAGCTATGGGACACCAGGACAGCTATGGGACACCAGGAGAGCTATGGGACACCAGGAGAGCTATGGGACACCAGGACAGCTATGGGACACCAGGAGAGCTATGGGACACCAGGACAGCTATGGGACACCAGGAGAGCTATGGGACACCAGGACGGCTATGGGACACCAGGACGGCTATGGGACACCAGGACAGCTATGGGACACCAGGACAGCTATGGGACACCAGGACAGCTATGGGACACCAGGACAGCTATGGGACACCAGGACAGCTATGGGACACCAGGACAGCTATGGGACACCAGGAGAGCTATGGGACACCAGGAGAGCTATGGGACACCAGGACAGCTATGGGACACCAGGAGAGCTACGGGACACCAGGACAGCTATGGGACACCAGGAGAGCTATGGGACACCAGGACGGCTATGGGACACCAGGACGGCTATGGGACACCAGGACAGCTATGGGACACCAGGACAGCTATGGGACACCAGGAGAGCTATGGGACACCAAGACGGCTATGGGACACCAGGACGGCTATGGGACACCAGGACGGCTATGGGACACCAGGACAGCTATGGGACACCAGGACAGCTATGGGACACCAGGAGAGCTATGGGACACCAGGACGGCTATGGGACACCAGGACAGCTATGGGACACCAGGACAGCTATGGGACACCAGGAGAGCTATGGGACACCAGGACAGCTATGGGACACCAGGAGAGCTATGGGACACCAGGACAGCTATGGGACACCAGGACAGCTATGGGACACCAGGAGAGCTATGGGACACCAGGACAGCTATGGGACACCAGGACAGCTATGGGACACCAGGACGGCTATGGGACACCAGGAGAGCTATGGGACACCAGGACAGCTATGGGACACCAGGACAGCAGCTATGGGACACCAGGACAGCTATGGGACACCAGGACGGCTATGGGACACCAGGACGGCTATGGGACACCAGGACGGCTATGGGACACCAAGACGGCTATGGGACACCAGGACGGCTATGGGACACCAGGACGGCTATGGGACACCAGGACAGCTATGGGACACCAGGAGAGCTATGGGACACCAGGACAGCTATGGGACACCAGGACGGCTATGGGACACCAGGACGGCTATGGGACACCAGGACGGCTATGGGACACCAGGACGGCTATGGGACACCAGGACGGCTATGGGACACCAGGACGGCTATGGGACACCAGGACGGCTATGGGACACCAGGACGGCTATGGGACACCAGGACAGCTATGGGACACCAGGACAGCTATGGGACACCAGGACAGCTATGGGACACCAGGACAGCTATGGGACACCAGGACAGCTATGGGACACCAGGACAGCTATGGGACACCAGGACGGCTATGGGACACCAGGACGGCTATGGGACACCAGGACAGCTATGGGACACCAGGACAGCTATGGGACACCAGGACAGCTATGGGACACCAGGAGAGCTATGGGACACCAGGACAGCTATGGGACACCAGGACGGCTATGGGACACCAGGACGGCTATGGGACACCAGGACGGCTATGGGACACCAGGACAGCTATGGGACACCAGGAGAGCTATGGGACACCAGGACAGCTATGGGACACCAGGACTGCTATGGGACACCAGGACGGCTATGGGACACCAGGACGGCTATGGGACACCAGGACGGCTATGGGACACCAGGACAGCTATGGGACACCAGGACGGCTATGGGACACCAGGACGGCTATGGGACACCAGGACAGCTATGGGACACCAGGACGGCTATGGGACACCAGGACGGCTATGGGACACCAGGACGGCTATGGGACACCAGGACAGCTATGGGACACCAGGACAGCTATGGGACACCAGGACGGCTATGGGACACCAGGACGGCTATGGGACACCAGGACAGCTATGGGACACCAGGACAGCTATGGGACACCAGGAGAGCTATGGGACACCAGGACGGCTATGGGACACCAGGACGGCTATGGGACACCAGGACAGCTATGGGACACCAGGACAGCTATGGGACACCAGGAGAGCTATGGGACACCAAGACGGCTATGGGACACCAGGACGGCTATGGGACACCAGGACGGCTATGGGACACCAGGACGGCTATGGGACACCAGGACAGCTATGGGACACCAGGAGAGCTATGGGACACCAGGACGGCTATGGGACACCAGGACAGCTATGGGACACCAGGACAGCTATGGGACACCAGGAGAGCTATGGGACACCAGGACAGCTATGGGACACCAGGACAGCTATGGGACACCAGGAGAGCTATGGGACACCAGGACAGCTATGGGACACCAGGAGAGCTATGGGACACCAGGAGAGCTATGGGACACCAGGACGGCTATGGGACACCAGGACGGCTATGGGACACCAGGACAGCTATGGGACACCAGGACAGCTATGGGACACCAGGAGAGCTATGGGACACCAAGACGGCTATGGGACACCAGGACGGCTATGGGACACCAGGACGGCTATGGGACACCAGGACGGCTATGGGACACCAGGACAGCTATGGGACACCAGGAGAGCTATGGGACACCAGGACAGCTATGGGACACCAGGACGGCTATGGGACACCAGGACGGCTATGGGACACCAGGACAGCTATGGGACACCAGGACAGCTATGGGACACCAGGAGAGCTATGGGACACCAGGACGGCTATGGGACACCAGGACGGCTATGGGACACCAGGACAGCTATGGGACACCAGGACAGCTATGGGACACCAGGAGAGCTATGGGACACCAAGACGGCTATGGGACACCAGGACGGCTATGGGACACCAGGACGGCTATGGGACACCAGGACGGCTATGGGACACCAGGACAGCTATGGGACACCAGGAGAGCTATGGGACACCAGGACGGCTATGGGACACCAGGACAGCTATGGGACACCAGGACAGCTATGGGACACCAGGAGAGCTATGGGACACCAGGACAGCTATGGGACACCAGGACAGCTATGGGACACCAGGAGAGCTATGGGACACCAGGACAGCTATGGGACACCAGGAGAGCTATGGGACACCAGGACAGCTATGGGACACCAGGACAGCTATGGGACACCAGGACGGCTATGGGACACCAGGAGAGCTATGGGACACCCGGACAGCTATGGGACACCAGGACAGCTATGGGACACCAGGACAGCTATGGGACACCAGGACGGCTATGGGACACCAGGACGGCTATGGGACACCAGGACGGCTATGGGACACCAGGACGGCTATGGGACACCAAGACGGCTATGGGACACCAGGACAGCTATGGGACACCAGGACAGCTATGGGACACCAGGACAGCTGAGAGGCCAGGATCCTGAAGACAGTGATGGCAGCAGGAAGAAAACAGGCCCAAAAGAAGTGAGACGAGAGTTTATCTATGAATAATGTACATGTGTGTAGCTGTGTGTGTAGATGTGTGTGTAAATGTGTGTGTAGATGTGTGTGTAAATGTGTGTGTAGATGTGTGTGTAGATGTGTGTGTAGATGTGTGTGTAAATGTGTGTGTAGATGTGTGTGTAAATGTGTGTGTAGATGTGTGTGTAAATGTGTGTGTAGATGTGTGTGTAGATGTGTGTAAATGTGTGTGTAGCTGTGTGTAAATGTGTGTGTAGATGTGTGTGTAGCTGTGTGTGTAGATGTGTGTGTAGATGTGTGTAAATGTGTGTGTAGATGTGTGTGTAAATGTGTGTGTAGATGTGTGTGTAGATGTGTGTGTAAATGTGTGTGTAGATGTGTGTGTAGATGTGTGTGTAAATGTGTGTGTAGCTGTGTGTGTAGATGTGTGTGTAGATGTGTATAAATGTGTGTGTAGATGTGTATGTAGCTCTGTGTAGATGTGTGTGTAGCTGTGTGTGTAGATATGTGTGTAGATGTGTGTGTAGATGTGTGTGTAAATGTGTGTGTAGATGTGTGTGTAAATGTGTGTGTAGATGTGTGTAAATGTGTGTGTAGCTGTGTGTAAATGTGTGTGTAGATGTGTGTGTAAATGTGTGTGTAGCTGTGTGTAAATGTGTGTGTAGATGTGTGTGTAAATGTGTGTGTAGATGTGTGTGTAGCTGTGTGTGTACATGTGTGTGTAGATGTGTGTGTAGATATGTGTGTAGATGTGTGTGTAGATGTGTGTACATGTGTGTGTAGATGTGTGTGTAGCTGTGTGTAGATGTGTGTGTAGATGTGTGTGTAGCTGTGTGTGTAGATGTGTGTGTAGCTCTGTGTGTAGATGTGTGTACATGTGTGTGTAGATGTGTGTAGCTGTGTGTGTAGCTGTGTGTGTACATGTGGGTGTAGATGTGTGTAGATGTGTGTGTAGATGTGTGTGTAGCTGCGTAGTAGATGTGTAGTAGATGTGTGTGTAGCTGTGTAGTAGATGTGTGTAGATGTGTGTAGATGTGTGTGTAGATGTGTGTGCAGATGTGTGTGTAGCTGTGTGTGTAGATGTGTGTGTAGCTATGTGTGTAGCTGTGTGTAGCTGTGTGTGTAGCTGTGTGTAGATGTGTGTGTAGCTGTGTGTGTAGCTGTGTAGTAGCTGTGTGTAGCTGTGTGTGTAGCTGTGTAGTAGATGTGTGTGTAGCTGTGTGTGTAGCTGTGTGTGTAGCTGTGTGTGTAGCTGTGTGTAGATGTGTGTGTAGCTGTGTGTGTGGCTGTGTAGTAGCTGTGTGTAGCTGTGTGTAGCGGTGTGTGTAGCTGTGTGTGTAGCTGTGTGTAGCTGTGTGTAGATGTGTGTAGATGTGTGTGTAGCTGTGTGTGTAGCTGTGTAGTAGTTGTGTGTAGCTGTGTGTAGATGTGTGTAGATGTGTGTAGATGTGTGTGTAGCTGTGTAGTAGATGTGTGTGTAGCTGTGTGTGTGGCTGTGTAGTAGCTGTGTGTAGCTGTGTGTAGCGGTGTGTGTAGCTGTGTAGTAGATGTGTGTGTAGCTGTGTGTGTAGCTGTGTAGTAGCTGTGTGTAGCTGTGTGTAGATGTGTGTAGATGTGTGTGTAGCTGTGTAGTAGATGTGTGTGTAGCTGTGTGTGTAGCTGTGTGTGTGGCTGTGTAGTAGCTGTGTGTAGCTGTGTGTGTAGCTATGTGTGTGGCTGTGTGTGTAGCTGTGTGTGTAGCTGTGTGTGTGGCTGTGTAGTAGATGTGTGTGTAGCTGTGTAGCAAGGGCAGCACGGTGGCTGAGTGGATAGCACTCTCGCCTCTCAGCAAGAAGGTCCTGGGTTCGAATCCCGGTCGGACCAGGGCCTTTCTGAGTGGAGTTTGCATGTTCTCCCCGTGTCTGCGTAAGTTTCCTCCGGGTACTCCGGTTTCCCCTACCACTAAAAATATGTCCAATAGTTCTGGCATGCGCCCCCTGTACTGGCCCCACTCCCATCTCTGTGTGGAGTGAGAGACAAATGCCCAAAAATTAACAATTGTAAACCGCTTTGTGACTCAGATCTGCAGTGAAAAGGCGGTATATAAATAAATACTTACTTACTTACTTACTGTGTGTGTGGCTGTGTAGCTGTGTGTGTAGCTGTGTAGTAGATGTGTGTGTAGCTGTGTAGTAGATGTGTGTGTAGCTGTGCGCCGTAAATACAGACAGTATCTATGGGCTATGTTACTATTAGCTTTGGTCGTGGGTTAGCGATAGCAGATATATAATCGGGAAAACAGTAAAAACGGATACTTCTGTCTGTATTAAAAGGACATTGGAAATGGACGAAGCAAAAGAATAAAATATATTAATGGCAGTAGCTTTTTTTCTCTTTATTCTAAGTCAGAATTAGTGTCTTTTGTTTGACTTGTATTGAATCTGTCATGACGGTAATAAGGGTCTACAGTCATATTTATATGATTATATAATTATTGTCACTTTATTGTACATATATATCCTGCATGTAACATGTTTGCACATTTCCTCCTTTTGCACAATCTGAGTGTTCTATCCATGCCAAACGTGACATGTACATTTCTCCTCTGTGAGATAAATAAAGCTTATCTTATCTTATCTTGACAGACTAAAACCAGCATCATTTGTATCTGTGAGCTCCCATGCGCTCAGATTAAAGATAGACTACTTGTTTTTGAAACCATCCATCCATCCATTTTCTTCCGCTTTATCCGTTGCCGGGTCACGGGGGCAGCAGTCTAAGCAGAGACGCCCAGACTTCCCTATCCACACACACTTCCTCCAGCTCGTCCGGGGGGACTCCAAGGCGTTCCCAGGCCAGCTGAGAGACATAGTCCCTCCAGCGTGTCCTGGGTCTTCCCCGGGGCCTCCTCCCGGTGGGACGTGCCCGGAACACCTCCCCAGGAAGGCGTCCAGGAGGCATCCGGAACAGATGCCCGAGCCACCTCAACTGGTTCCTCTCGACGTGGAGTAGCAGCGGCTCTACTCCGAGCTCCTCCCGTGTGACTGAGCTCCTCACCCTATCTCTAAGGGAGCAGCCACTCTGCGGAGGAAGCTCATTTCGACCGCTTGTTTCCGCGATCTCGTTCTTTCGGTCATTACCCAAAGCTCATGACCATAGGTGAGGGAGGGAACGAAGATTGACCGGTAAATCGAGAGCTTCGCCTTTCGGCTCAGCTCCCTCTTTACCACAACAGTCCGATACAGCTCTGACTGTAGACGCTGCTCCCTCTTTACCACAACGGTCCGATACAGCTCTGACTGCAGACGCTGCTCCCTCTTTACCACAACGGTCCAATACAGAGACCGCATCACTGCGCACGCTGCACCGATCCGCCTGTCAATCTCACGCTCCATCCTCCCCTCACTCGTGAACAAGACCCCGAGATACTTGAACTCCTCCACTTGAGGAAGGACCTCTTTTTCCGGTCGAGCACCATGGCCTCGGATTTGGAGGTGCTGATTCTCATCCCAGCCGCTTCACACTCGGCTGCAAACCGTCCCAGTGCATGCTGCAGGTCCTGGTTCGTTGGAGCCAGCAGGACGACATCCTCCGCAAAAAGTAGAGATGAAATCCTGTGGTTCCCGAACCGGACCCCCTCCGGCCCCTGGCTGCGCCTAGAAATTCTGTCCATAAATACAGTGAACAGAACCGGTGACAAAGGGCAGCCCTGTCGGAGGCCAACATTCACCGGGAACAGGTCTGACTTACTGCCGGCAATGCGAACACAGCTCTGACTCCGGTCATACAGGGACCGGACGGCCCTCAGCAGAGGACCCCGGACCCCGTACTCCCGGAGGACCCCCCAAAGGACACCCCGGGGAACACGGTCGAACGCCTTCTCCAAATCCACAAAGCACATGTGGACAGGTTGGGCGAACTCCCATGAACCCTCGAGTATCCGATGGAGAGTATAGAGCTGGTCCAGTGTTCCGCGACCGGGACGAAAACCACACTGCTCCTCCTGAATCCGAGATTCGACCATCGGACGTAGCCTCCTCTCCAGTACCTTGGAGTAGACCTTACCGGGGAGGCTGAGGAGTGTGATCCCACGATAATTGGAACACACCCTCCGGTCCCCCTTCTTGTAGAGAGGGACCACCACCCCGGTCTGCCACTCCATTGGCACCGCCCCCGATCGCCACGCGATGCTGCAGAGACGTGTCAGCCAAGACAGTCCTACAACATCCAGAGACTTTAGATAGTCAGGACAGATCTCATCCACTCCCGGCGCCTTGCCACCATGGAGGCTGCCAACCACCTTGGTGACCTCGGCCAGGGAGATAGAAGTATCTGCCCCAACATCCTCAGCCTCTGCCTCCTGGACGGAGGACGTGACGGGGGGATTGAGGAGAACCTCGAAGTATTCCTTCCACCGCCCGACAATATCCCCAGTCGAGGTCAGCAGCTCTCCACCCGCACCATACACGGTGTTGGCAAAGAACTGCTTCCCCCTCCTGAGGCGCCGGACGGTTTGCCAGAACCTCTTCGAGGCCGACCGATAGTCATGCTCCATGGACTCTCCGAACTCCTCCCAGTCCCGGGTTTTTGCCTCTGCAACAGCCCGGGCCGCGGCACGTTTGGCCTGCCGGTACTGGACAGCTGCCTCAGGAGTCCCACGAACCATCATTGCTCGATAGGACTCCTTCTTCAGCCTGACGGCATCCCTTACTGCCGGTGTCCACCACCGGGTTCGGGGATTGCCGCCGGGACCAGCACCAGAGACCCTGCGACCACAGCTACGAGCTGCCGCATTGGCGATAGAGGAAGAGAACATGGTCCACTCGGACTCGATGTCCCCCTCCTCTGCCGGGACCTGGGAGAAGCTCTCCCGGAGGTGTGAGTTGAAAGTCCATCTGACAGGGGGCTCAGCAAGACGTTCCCAGCAAACCCTCACTACACGCTTGGGCCTGCCAGGTCTGACCGGCC